ATATGCATTAATGGACCGGTTTTTTTTCTCAAAGGAACTTGTTATTACTTAACAAGCCGTTAAAACGTTTTTAATTTATAATAATATTGTATTAGTGACATTATCATTATTATTGACACTGAAGCTGATGATTGACGATACAAGCGACAATAGTATAAGTCATATACCATATTATGGTTTTATTATGGATTTCTCATATTTGAGAATGAACAATAGAATTTGAGAAAAATATTATAAAAAGTGCTATTTTGGAAGTGAAACCAGAGCAAAAAAATGAAAAAAATATCAAATCAAGTTGAAAAAAAATTAGATTTCCAAACCATGAAACATATATAATATCTTGTCTGAAAAAGAAAAAAGTAACATACAGCTAAAAAAAAAAAAATACAAAATGATAAATAATTAATATACATACATAGTATACATAAATGAAATCGACTCCGGTGTCAATCAAGACTAACAATAATAATATAATTGAGTTGTTTACAAAATATAATGTAATTTTTTTTTTTTTAATTAATCGCCAAGTTCGGTCCGTCGTATTAACTTACTTGTTTACTTACTTGTACTTACTTATGACAGCTGATTTATGTGATGTCCCTCGTTTTGACATGAACAACACGTTTCACAATAATCGTTTTAATTCTATAATTTTTTTTTTTTTGTTACATTGACATTGAAAACAAATAAATTAACTTGTTTTTACCTATCGTTTTATTTTTTTATTGACAGCGTCCACCATAATAGGATAGATCTCGGTTTGTTTGTTCTTTTTTTATTGACTGATCTCTTGCATATTTTATCATATTATGTGTCCACGCCATTGGCTAGTGGTCACAATAATAATAATTGTTTATTACTTTGGACGGCTAAGAGTAGTTCAGATCAACAGAACCTGATATAAGTCAGTCATGATGGTGTATTTTGTTTGCACAGTTTATTATACCATACAATTACTAACCACTTGACAGGCAGAGTGTTTATATTATGTTGACAGACCACTCATTAACAATGTATTTTGTACAGGTGTTTTGTTTAAATAATATACATTATAAATCGAATAAAGATTAAGTTTTTTTATTTATCAATTAGATTTATAAAAACACAAGTCCAGTCGATGTTTTGAGTGAAATTTACATACTATTTACTTTTCACGGCCAAAGTTTCAATATTTATCAATAAAAAAAAAAGAGTAATAATAAACAGATAAAAAAATAAAAGATAAAAAATACAATAATTTCCTTTTCAAAATGTTGGCGGTATATTGGTTAATTTTTTTTTGTCAATAGTTTTTTATGCGATTTGTAGAAAAGAATAATAAATAAAAATAAAAAATACAAACGATTTCAATCAAAGACAACGACTACGACATGATAAAAAAAGACAATTTTCTACTTCAAAGCATTTAAGTTTCTATGTAAATGATATTTATTTTTAAGGAAAATCGGGGTTTTTTTTAGTGTTCACAGAAAAATAATTATTAAACACAAAATTAAAAAGATTCTTCCAAGGGGCATAGTACAAGTCGATAGATGTTTTCTATCAAAGACAAAATCAATTTTATATAAAACCTGTAATAATGATAAAAAAATTTTAAAAAAAACTTACTCTAGTCCAGTACTATATAGTTTAATACTAACAATCATATTTTATCTTACAAGAAATTATAACATCTAATAGGCATTTGTTATTTTTAATTTTTATATAGTCTTAAAAATATGATACGGTCCAATGTAAATTACATTTATACAACATGAGCCTTACACCAAATCAATCTATATCCGGAAAATTAATTACATTGTTGTTGTGGTGGAAGGAAATTCAGTAAACGACATGGTATTTAAATACGATTTAATAATTTAATAATTGGATCATTTCTATATCAATGTGTTCTAAATTAAAATCCAAACGACATGTGATGTACGACAACCAGTCTTTCTAATAAAAATTCACAAAAAAAACAATTGTTTAAAAAAAAAAATCGTTCTTATTCGAGTTTAATTAAAAACGAAAGCAAGCATTCCAATAACGGCACGTTTCCCAACCGATGAAAATATGTACTAAGGAATGCTTCGGGAATTAAATTCCTGAACCTTAACCGAAAAACCAGTAGAGTTCAGTACAGTCAACCGGATTGAGTAGATATTTTGGAAAACTTAAACGGCACAACAATTTCGGAAGTTTGACTTATGGAATTTGGAAATCCCAATGACACAGAAAGTTTTTCACTTAGAGAAATGAATTATCGTTTTCATCCCAGTGGTAATAAAATTGAACTTGGAATGCTGAACTTACATGAAGCAAAATATTGCCGGGTCAGTGTCTTAGCTTGGACAGATTTCCAAAAACGAATTTGACCGTCAAATTTCTTTAAGCACAAAAGGTTTTATTCTTGTCAGAGTGAGGTTATTAATTTAGTTTGTGCAAAATCACTACTACGATTCAGACACAAAAAAATACAATTTCCCATTTCCTTTTACTAGTATTATAGAAATCCTGAAAATGGACTTTTTGTAATTATCGTGCCGAAAGCATCATTCGATTAAGGGATTTACCGAGAAAAAAGGACCAATCTATTATTGTGTTCCCGAGGGAAATTAATTTTCATTATCGTTAGTTGTCATCTTGTTTTTATAATTTAGAGATGTTTTATAAGTAGTTCGAGAGGTTGGACGGCTTATCTTATGGTTTGCTTGCCTTTGCAACTGGATCGGATCTCTTATCAGAAGATTGGCCATTCATCTGCTAAATCGATTCTCAAATTCAAAGTTTGTATAATTAAAAAACATGCAGAAACGACTATGCCAGAAGGATTCAGCTTTTCCCAGTTCGATCGGCAAGTAATTGCCTTTGCCTTCCCCTTTGTGACATATTCGCCGTTTCAGCCGACTGTGTATTTGCATAGACCCCTTTGTAAGTATGTTTACTTGCTCGCACAATTGGTCGGCTTGCCTCCATCAAGATCCAATTGAGCTTGTGAACGAAACGAGCCAAAGATAGCATTTCGTTGTCGATCGGTGTGAATCCAAAAAAGGTGTCTTCGCAATGGGGCTTTGGACTACCATTCAAGGCGGGTTTGCACATTGTCCAGGGTCGGTTTTACCAAATCTAAAGGTTAGGTTACGTCATATTATATGGCATCTGCTCCGTGACAATGCCAATAAAGGTGTCGTTTTGTAGATTTGTGAGTGGGTGGGCTCAGATTCGACGATGCTTTACTCTACTCGCTTGCACAACACTGGTTAGGTTAGGGTATTGGACGCGGTAAAAAAATTACAAGATAGATAAAGAAAGACAGCAGACACCTACAAAGATAAAAAAACAATATTCGACTTCCCGCCGCGTAAGCGTTGTGGGCTCGAAAATTAAGGGCGGTCAGAGGTTAAACGGCAGATACGGATCTACATTATCATAGCTGTGGTGTATGTATAATAATAATAATAATATGTTATTGTTCGCCTGGCTAAATGTAGGTTAATTCACAGCGTTCGCAGCCAATAACTATCTTACAGTGGGTTCACGGACGAACTGTGCAGCGCCGAACGAAGGTAAAATATCGCTTATGTGTTTTTTTTTTCAATCAATTCCTACGGTTTTGACTTTTGACAGTGAAAAAAAAAACACAATCGTTAAACGACTTTGCACCGTACCGTGTTGGTCTGAAATTCAAAAAAGGATTTTTCAGATTGATATCGTATATAGACTGTTTTTTTGCGTTTGTTTGATCACCTATTAGTCGACCAATTAGTTTAGGATTTACTTCTTGAAAACATTCTTCTTCTTGCAATTTTCACTACAAGTTATTGTGTGAAAATCAGCTATTCAAATCGACATGACAGTATATGGTGTAAGGTACACATCAAAATATTATACCGGTTAATAAATGTCATTTCAAACAAACCCATTTGGGTTAGAGAGAACCGCTTTAAAATTGATATTAAAAATACAATCAGACCCTCATCTAGTTTGGCTAGAGAGTGAACAAAAAATTGTTAAAATATCAGTAAAAATTAGTGTAAACCGCGTTTAACAACAATGTATTTGTGTGTTTGCTTGATAGCGTTTTAATTTCGAGAATAAAAAATGTGAGTATTTTTTTAACTATATTTTTCTTGAGGTAATTATTGTTTATGTTTAAACAATGTTAACTCCAGCGGATCTATTTGATCAAAAGTATTGTTCTCGGTTGGCTGGCTGGTCGTTTTTTTTTTCTTTAATAATTTTCCAATTACTTTTATAGCGTTATAGTAATAATGTTATGGTTTTTTTTTAAATCTTTCTTAAAAAAACAGCTATATATATATAATTATTGATAGCTGGTATTATTATTATTATTGTCGCATAGCACTTATGTGTGTGTGTACTGTTGTGGAAATTAATTATCCGATCAGATGTCAATAGATTAACTCTTCGACAAAAGTATCGAAGAGTACAATATTATTATCACTGTGCATATTATATTATAATGTGGTAAAAAAAACCACAACAGCTATCGTGTGACAGTCAATGGTAAAAACGTGCGCGGCCGTCAAGCCGAGAACCGAGTATATATAATAATATTATTATCATAGGTCAAGGTAGCACTAGGCCCAACTGTTTTTTTTTTCAACCAACAACAAAATAATCGTTTAGAGCAGCGTTCCCTAAGGATAACACTAGGATTCATCTACTACCGTGTTCAATTTTCCAAATTGCAAATAATAGCATGGTTCCATCTCCCCATAGTTGAATTTTTCATCACTAGATAGTGCGCTAGAGTACATTGGCAATTTTACTTACATACATTGTTTCAAATAACTGAAAATGTCCTGAAAAATTTCATTTTATCGAGTTGATCGGTTTGGCATGAAAACCATTCACTTGGTACACAGAGAGAGGGAGACTTTAAACAATTGGCAGGGTACACAAACGCTCGAGCAGACTTAATTTTTGAAGTGAAACAGTAACGCTATGTTTGATTGTCTTTTAATTTTTCCCTATTTTTTTTTACTTTATTCCAGCCGAGCAAAGAAGACGCGCCAAGATCAGCCGAAGCCACGACGAAGAATCGCTGCCCAGCTACACCATAGTGACCGGTTTGCCGTCTTACGACGAGGCGTTGGAACGCATGCGGAACAACAGCCCGGGTTCGCCACAAGCGCACTCTTCGGCCAACACCACCGCCGCGGCAGCCGGTCTCTGGACCATCCAGACCACATACACCAGCAAGGCGACCAACACTCCCATATCGATGGTGCATCTCATGGACGAAACGGCCGACCAGAAACCGCCGTCCCTACCGCCGTCCCTACCGCCGTCGCCCCCCCTGCCGCGCTTCAAGGTGCAGCCCACCTACCCTGTGATCCAAAGACAGGCCGCCACCCTGACGTCTCCCCGGCTGGGGCTGGTCTCGCACAACTATTACACGCACAACGGCACTTGCAGCCACTGCCTTTCCGTGCAAGAGCTGTTGGAGACCTACAACGTCCGATAAACTCATCCCGGTTTCCCGGTTTAGCATTCCCGTTTTCCCCCGGCTGCAGTGCACCCATCATCCCCCTGACCCTCAGAACCACTGCACCCTTTTTAACCTGCCCCGACGAAAGGCGCTCGTCGCTGAGACCAGTACCGAATTCGAGAACGGACAAACGTTTGGGGTGGTTTTGTTTTTTTTTCCTTCTGCGTTGAACAATATATGTTGTGATGACAGATAGATTGATGGACAATCTATTCAGACAGATAGATGGAGAAGAAAAAAAAAACAAAACCACCCCCCGGACACAATGTTTGCACCGATTCGAACTCTGTACTTGTACCACCAGCACGACTTAACGAACCTAATTAGAGCTTGCTTGATATCCAGTGTAGGCCAGTTACCGATTGTTATGATGATCAAAATGTATTAATAGTAAGTAGTTCCAATGGAATTTCTACTGACCGGTTCAAGTGTTGATGATCGGTTTAATTGTGTGTGTTGCTTTGGAAATCTGAGTATGTTAGGTTAGGTTGTAGGCTGAACGCGGATTAAATTATTGTAGAACGTTAATATTATTATTATCTCATTTTAACTTTTAAGCGTGTGTTGTTATTGTATTGAATTTTTTTTTCCTCTGCCTTTACAAATTATAATAATAATGATAATACTATATTGTTTTTCAACCGCATCGCGTCGTTAGACGACTACACTATAGTAGGTACATTATTATATTCATGTGTGTGCGTTATGTGTGTGTTTTTTTAGTACTATTATTCGTATCGATTTGTAGATATTTTCTATTATATAATAGTAATTTTGTCGAGTGCCAGTTCTAGAATAATTACCAATTATTATAATAAGAACAGTAATATAATTATAACTACTTCATACATTATTATGTATATCATCTCTTTTTGCGATTCATTTCAATTGTAGTAGTTCATTATACATTTAATTATGTTATATATTATATTTGTTCGTGTGCCAGTACAAAATATACACTATTAATATTAATTAAACAAATAAATACAAATGTTTTTGTATAATAAAAAAATTCATTGATTGGAACCAAACAAAAATAGTCCAATCGTGATAGTTTTTTTTAAATTAAATTAAATTTTAATAATTATTAATCGTTTTTGTCGACGAAGAAAGATATCTGTTTAGACGTTTTTAAATGTTTCAAGTTTTTTTCTCAAATAAAAGAACATAGAAAATGCTTTTGTTATGTACTTTTTTTTACATGTTTTGCCTAAATCCACAAGTCAATATATTTATAAAATGATTTTCATTTTTTAATATTAATTTCTTTTAACATTAATCAATGTGATGTCCAAGAGATTGCTCTCCAATGAAAATTGTCGTTTATATTTTTACCATCTGGTAATTATTAATTGTTATTTATTATACATTACAATATTATTATGCTATCTAATTTATGCTTGTATTTCCAAATTGTAAGAAAAAATACAAGAAAAAGATGTGCAAAACAACAGAGACATATCTAAGTAGTAGAGAACAGATTTATACTTAAACGCTGTTCTATTAAAAGAAAAAAAAACAAACAAAAATTCATTGGAGTTATTGGAATACTGTTTAAATAGAAATTCGAATAATTATTAAAAATAAATAATAAATTGTAAATTAATAGTTTATATAGTAAATAAAGTTATAAATATTGCTGGGTAATATAAATACAATGTTGTATTTATCGTTTGAATTTTTATTGAATATCTAAAAAATGGTAATTGTTTTTTTTTTAAGAATTTAAATAAAGAAAAAAATTGATGTATTTCGAAATAATTGTTTAATAGATTACTAACTGGAAAAGGTTTTAAAAAGAAAATAGTAATGAAAGAATTAAGATAAAAAATTATCAAAACTCATATTACAGTAAACATTATTTACACTTGATTAAAAAAAAAATGTATATTAAAAAACAACTATCTTTTATTAGCTAATGTTTTTAATAGTTTTCGAATTGTCTTGGAATAAATAATTATATTCAACCAATTTTTTTAACGTTTTGTTATTCATTTGTTTATTCGTTTATTATTCAAAAACAACAGACAAGTACAATAATTATTGATCGTTATTACAAAACGCGGTAAACAATAAAAGTTTATCGATACCATTTTAATAGTCAATTGAAATTTTATCAAAGACAAAAAAAAAAAATCGCACATAAATTAAGGAATGACATTTTTTCCGTTGGTCATCGTACGACCGCAATGGTGACATTACACAAATACTGTAAACGGCAAAACAAATGCTTTAAAAAAAAAAAAAAATAATACATACACATTATATTATAAACGTCTTTCGATAATGATATCGCGTGTTACGAGTCGGCATTATATCAACTAACTTAAGTTACGTATTTTTTTTAACATTAAAATATAATATAGGAAAAAAAAAAAGAAACGGAACGTTCAACGGTGCCCGCACCACTTTGGGCTTACAAGCTACGCTTTAATACGCATAATGTTAACGCGACACATCTTAATAATTTAACGTTACACTCATACTTAAAGCTAGTTAAATAATTTATATTGCGTAACCCACGGACATGGGAATTTTCTTGCTTAACATTATTTTTTTTTTATTAAAAAAAAAAAAATCACACAAACATGTACTTAAACCAAATCCATCGCAATAATAGTATAACATTATCGTACGACAAATTACATTTAAGGAATACAATATTATATAGTATATAATGAATAAATTAATTATAATAACGTTCGAACCGTTTAGATTGCAGTTTTATTTTCCACACGGACTAATAATCTAACTATATATATATATGTATATATTAAACATTTAATAAACTATTTTTAACACATCGTCGATTTGATTATGATATATTTTTTTTTTTTGGCAAAATATTATTAAACAAATATAATAATATTTAAACATTAATAATATACAAAGTAAAAACTCCGTTAAAACATTTAGTATTTTCAATTGGCACATCATCGTAACGGTAAATAATTTTCCGAGACAAAATATTGTTAACGAGTTATTAACTTAAGATTTAGATTTTTTTTTGAAAATGTCGAGCGGAAGAAAAAAACGTTTTACGATACAATTGAAACAACGTAAGAAAGAATTTCAAAAACCAGACTAGAAAACGAAATTAGGTTTTTTTAAAATTACAATAAATAAACAGTTTTTTTTTCCAAACAGACATTTAGACAAGATTATAATAGTATATTATATATTAAAAAGACAAAAAACAAACCGGGAGATCGCTTTTTAATTTTAGGTGATTGACTAGATCGTATACAATAATAATAATAATAATACAACGTGTTGTGTTTGTTTTGTTCGGCAACGGTACGGCGATAATAGTAAATAGTAAAACGCTATACGAAAGCGTCTGGCAGGGATTTAGACCGTCGAACAACAAGAGTACATAAAATAATAATCGTTAAATTTAAACAAATAAATAAATAATACGTAATTAACGGAAAATATCGGAATAATACGATAATAATTTAGAATATAACGATCATTGTTTTTTTTTGTTCCAATTATTTTTTAACGTGTTTTTTTGGCCGTTTCGCTTTGGTCGCCACCTTGTTGGCTTCGATGGACGCGGTCAATTTCCTTAGTTTAGCGCTCTTAACGTCCGACTCGGCCGAGGCAGATGTGTTGCCGTTGTCTCTAAGCCGCTTGACGGCGTGACTGACTCTTTTGCTCATGCCGGCCGAAGCGTCACTCAAAATGGGCAAAACGCGCATGTACGAGTCCAACGTTTTCTGGTTCTGAAACAATCGGATAGAAGACTTGAAAACTCACTGACGGTAGACGACACGCTACGCTACGGTCAACGATTACGACTACTTACGGTTCTCTCTGCGATCTTTTTCATAATGGGAGCCAACGTGCTTTGGGTTTTGGCCACGTTCCAGTCGAAGTTGGTCTGAGCGTACTTCAACAGCATTTCCACGTGCGGCACTCCCCAGGATAGCTTGTTGTCCGACTCGTTGACGATCGGATTGAGATATGCATTGATGACGGCTTTGTTGGGAAAATCTGTCGATAAATAGATAACAGTTGAGTTGTAATATTTCTATGTAAAGAAATTTATAATCATAAATAAATTAATGTGCAAATGTAAATGAATATAACACTGTAAAAGGCAAAATTCAACGATGTATTCGAGTAAAATGTATTCAAATGTAAGTATTCGAATACATATTTTAAATAATTGCAAAAAAAGTATACTCGAGTAAATGCATACAAAATAAATATATTTTAAAGGTATTTGTGTTTAATATTAAAAATACTTTGGTTAATTTTTTAAACCTATCGACACATTTTTTTGAGAGTCTAAATGTGTTTAGTATAATTTTCAAATTATAATACATTTTATAGTTATTGTTACAATATTTAAAAATAAAAAATTCTAGAACATTATATTTTTATAAGATCTTAGCAATTTAAAACAGGGTTTGAATACTTGACTGTGAACTTATATTTCCAAAAATTAACTTATACATCTATCATTTATTTTATGTAAATTTAATTTGACAACAAATAACAATTGCAAGAATAAATATTATTTAAAATAATTTACTGTTCATATTTTTACATTAAATATTAAAATAAAATTTTATACTTTACCGATGCGGTTAACATGTTATTTTTTAAAAAGAAAATTTATGAATTATTTATTTTAATCTTTATTCAAATAAAAAATTATGTTAAGTTCAAAATTAATTTAGATTTGATTTATTATTTTAATTTGGTAAAATACAAATTTATTTGAAATTATTATTCGGATATTAGCTATAATGCGGTTTGTTTTAAATATAAAAAATATATTTCAGTTTTTATTTAAATCCATTTTTATTTGAAATATTTATTTTTATTTAAATATTGACTGATTAAAAAATAGAGCTAATAAAAAAACCTAAATATATGACTATTTTTTAAAAAACTTAAATTTTATCTGTTTTTATTTACATAATACTTTCTTACTCTTTTTTAACTCATCTTTACAAATGAAAACTTAATAATTAAAAAACATTTTTGTTTAGAATTAGGAATTGGATTTTAAAATGTTTAAACCTTATACCCAAAGTGTCTTATTTGGTAATTTTTTTTTTAATAATTTTTTTTGCATCGTAGCGTTTGTTTGAAAATGTTTCGATGAAAGGGTTTAAATTTAAAAATGGCTTTACCGCTTCCGATCTTAACGGATTTCAGCTTTTTCACAAAAGGTATGTCGTTGTACACTTCGGACTTTGAGTTGACGATCTCTTTGATTTTCAATAGTTTATCCTCGATGTTCCTGTACTTTGTCTTGGACTCAAAAAACGACAGCATTTCGATAGCCGTTACCGGACCGATGCCGTCGATGCCTCTGGTGTAATCGCTGCCCACCAAAAACGCCAACTGTATCAAATTGTTTTGGGATAGACCTAAGGCAAAACGTTAACAATACCGTTACTGAAATCGTACAGAGTGTTGTGCACAGGTCAAAGATTGTTGGAAACGGTACCGAATTTATGTTTGATGTCGTCGCTTCTAAATTGTCTGACGTATTTCTTGCTGTCGAAGAAGTCTTTGAAAACGACGTTGGCGCCAAACAGCCAGATGTCGCTGTCGTCGGTCACGGTACCATCGGTGCGACCGATCTTCTCCAAAAACGCACATTGAGCCTCGGCTTCCATCGGGGCCGTTATGTACGGTATGCCAAACATTCTCAATAAAATCTGTAGTTAAAAATACAAATATAAATATTCAATTGGATACATTTTGAAAAACCAGACTACAGCATACCTTCATTTCGGACGTAATCTTCTGAGACACCGAAGAAGCCATCCGATTAGACGTCCTTTCCAAACTGACCAATTCGTTTTGACGCTTGACCAACGATTCCTACAATGTTACAACGACAATTCAGAGTTACAACCACTTACGATATTTGCAAAAGGTCCACAATATCAATATAGTCTAACCTGTACGTCCAATAAATACTGTTCGTCCAACGGATTTGCCTCTTCTTTTTGTGCCGTCACCACATCGACCGATGAAGTCTTTGCAGATTTAATCAATAAATCCTTAGCGACTTCACCCGAAGTTACCGTAGCCGATCTGACGTGTTTTCTTGGAGATACCAATTTGTCTAAAACACACAATCAAGTCAAGTGAAAATGTCCGTTTTGGGGTTGCGCTAAAAAAAATATCAAAATTTACTCACCGGCGCTAATTGCGTTAATCTTACTGAAAATGTCTACACTGGAATCGATTTTTTCAATCTTGTTAGTCAATGATGTCTTATTCGGACTGGACCAGGTCATCGCCAACTCTTCGATTTCCGTTTTCCTTATTAGTTCGTCTAAACGCAATTTAAATGAAAATAACCACTCAAAACATTTTAACTTTAAATTGTATATTTTTTCTAAAATATTATTTTTTGTCATTTTTTTAAGTTCTTGTTCACAGAAATATATTTTTTGGAGACTATTTTTCATGTATTTTATTCGGCCTGACTGACCGATTTGAGTCTTCTTTAAAATAAAGAAAAACCAAGTATAACAAACTTAAAACTATTAACAAATTGATAAGAAAATAGAAAATTAGTGAAGACAATATTATTATAATATTTTGCTTTTTTAATGATATATAATCATTTTTGCACTAACTGTACTTGTTTTAAATTGCAAGTAATTTTATAATATATTTTATTTATTAGGTTTAATTTCAAATAAATTTTCATACATTAAATCTAAAATAAACTAAAAACAATAATGTACTCCTAGTCTTGAGAATTTACACAAAGTTATTTCTTCTGTTTGTCACATACAACTTGTACTAATAAAAAGTAAGATTGATTAAGCTTTAGTGAAACGGCTCTTAAAATTCAAATATACTCAGTTAGCGTTCATTAGTGAGGTTACGTAAGGTTAGTCAGTGAATTTATCGTTTCTTCGTAAGTTAACAAACAGATGTTTCGATTATCTTAATTTACTTTTCAGTTTGTATTTTAAAATTCCATTTCATCATTTTAGCTTTCTCCCAATCCCTTTCGTACAACTTTGAAAAATCGAATTACTTTTTGAATAAGGCAATCATTAGGAAAAAGCAAATGGACAAAAAAACATTTATAGTTTTACATTCAGAAATTATTTAAGATATTGGTTCTAAGCACCGGGTGGGTTGAAATTATTTAACGCTATTAAAAGATTTAAAATCTTTTGAAAATAATAATAATTCAATAACCGAAGTCACCTTGAAAAAAAGTATTGGTCCATTTATTTGGTATTTATCAGAAGAACTGGTGGCCTTTGTTTTTTTTTAAACGATGAAATTTCTCTTGAAACGAAGCAGAGAACGGAGTTAGCGTTGAACTAAGTAGAGTTAGGAGTATTTGCCTAAATGTCAAACTATGGGCTAAGATCTAATAAATATTAGAAAACTTCAAGTTATTGTGTCGAGCAACACATTAATATATTTGAAAAATATCTGACTTTTCCTCCGAGTTTTTGAAAAAACAGCTATAGAAATTTAAAACAATTATGAAGACGACTTAGACATTAGAAAATTGTAGATGATAGAACGTTGATTAGCTCTGACAGAAGAGTACAACAAATTGCAAATAACAAATGAAGATCAGCAGCAATGTTTGCTGTTATTAATTGAAGATTATCGACAAAGCCTTTAAGACACAAAAAAAGACTACTTAACTATAAAAAACAAATTAGTAACTGTTAATTTTGTGTAAAACAAATAAAATTACTTCATGAAAATAAATATTTTAACTTCATTAGGTACCTGGGCATGGACTTTTAAGCGTAACATAATAAAGGTTAAGTAGCAATAGCTAAAAAATGATTTAAAAAAAAAAATTATTATAGTAGTTTTTGAAATACAACAATATTTTAAAATAAAGTTAACTTAAAATGTTTTTAAAAAAGGATTAATATGCATCTGTTAAATCGCTACATTTTGAATAACTTCACCTAAATTGATGGCTTTGCTCTCGTCAGCAAAATTAAAGCTCGAATTTTTGTTCAGCGAATAATCGGTAACGTCCTTAGATAGAGCACCGTTGTCCAAGTCATCATCGGAATCCGAATCAAAATACAACGACTTGGAGGCGTAATCTAGTTTCAAATCAATTACACTGTCGTCGTCCCAAGAGTTGCTTACGCATTTGCTATTATTTGATACGCTTGTACTGGTCGACGCGACACTTGCGCTGCTCGTCACAGTATCATGCAGTTTCGTTGGGTTTTGTTCGCTTTTTACTGGAAGTAAAGAAAAACATTGTATATAAGCAATTTGAGTATTAAACATGTACCGCACTCACTTCTGTTGAGAGCGAGCCACGCCAAATGGTCTTCGTTGAGCAAGTCATAGGTCAATATTTCATTTGGGTCGTTATCGAGAAACAGACTTTTGTTTGCGTGCTTGTTCGACAAGAATTTTGTGTTTAACACATCTTGTTCCATGTCCGTAATGTGCATTTCTTCGGGATAATCACAGTTGGCGCTCGATTCGGACGCGTTCTTGGTCTTGGTAGTGGACGATTCGAATTCGACTAAATTCAACAAACAAATCGGGTAAATTTCAAGTAACCCAAATGAACGATAATATTGTTTACTGGAATATTATCTACCTGATCTTTTTTTACTGGCTTTTTTGTTTTCGTTGAAAGCCAGCCAAGCTATTCGGTCTTCCTCGAGCGATTCATCACCGTTAAGCGCCTTGAACAAATCATCATCTGTAAATCACACAATGAAATATTAATTTTCATTTTAACAATATCATCTTACGGCAACATAAACATTTCAATTAACAAATGGTATTTTCTCGTTACCGTCACTCAGACTTGTCGTTTCATTGTTTTGAACACTGTTTGGTGGATGTTGGTTTGCGTTTTTCGGTTCCGTATTCTCCACAGTAGCGCTCTCGTTGTTAGCCAACGGTTTCAATGAGTTGTTTGTGTTTGTTGATGCTTTGTTGTTAAAATCTAACACAGCAATCAGTTAGGTTATTAAATATACAAATATTGTTTACTATCAACGTTCCATTAATGATTACCCGATTGATAATAGAACAGCGTGTCAGAATCCGATTTGAGTTTTTCTCCGATATCATCGTCCAAGCCGTCCGAACTGTTCAGAAACATTTCCATCTCGCTAACGGTCATCTCTTGTTTGGATTTTTGTGTTTTCTTTCGATCCATCATACGTTTTTGATCGTCAGCGTGTTTTTTTAGCAGATCGTCGATTTGTAATGACGAGAATGTCTGTAACGATATCGACAATAATTATACAACACATAAATAAGTTTCTTTAAAGCCTTAGGTTCGGTATATATGAGCAAACAGGGTAACCGCTTGGCACGTTAACAAAATCAAAGTCATTTTATACTTAAATTAAAAATGAACAATACAATTTTTATTGTACGATTTGGCTGTGTTTTTTTGTCAACCTAACGCTTTGCTTGCAGACTCACATTTAACTTGACCGATGGTTTTCCTTTATCTGTGCCGTTGTACAGGCTCTCGTTGTCTTGGTTATCGACGGCCATCATGAGCAGGTTGTCGGATTCGCTGTACGATGAATTTGCAGAACTGTGTTGGCTTTCCGTTTTAACGCTGTTGGCTTTGTTGATGACCTCTCTGCGAATCATTAAGAAGAGAACAATTAATCATCACGGTTTGAGTGACCGAACCCACTGCGGGTAGTGAACAAAGATAATAGATAATGCTACATAGATAATAATGTAACAAATTAGTAAAAATAAAAATTATATTACTCTGTGTCATCCGGAAGTGTGGGCAACTCGAACAAGTCGGTTTCGTCCGGTTTGCTCAGGGTGTTGACGGTTTTCTTGACCACCTCTTCTTCGGTCATTTTGTCGCCGTTGGCGTTCATCACGGTCTTGAGAGCCGCTTGCTCCAGCATGTTTATCAATAATTTCTCTTTGGTTTTGGTCGACGATTTTTTTGCACGACGCTTCTGGGCTTGACGTTGAGCCTGGAGGTTGTTAAAAAAAAGAAAAATTATTATTATTCTCTGTTTGTTTATCTCAGGTGCACTTGTTGAATGTCCATCGCCATTGTGTTAACATAATTCAAAATGCGGTTAATCGCGCACGGTAAACTTTCCGACACACGGCGAGGGAAAAACAATACAAATTTTTTTTTTTGATGGGGAGGGGTTAAAATGTATTTTGTTTTAATTACCTAGATATATACTGGGTGTTGGTGGTGGTGGTTATTGTAGAGGGTGAACTGCCGAGACCAAGTAATAGTAGTACCTGACTGAGGGGGGTCTGGCACGTCTGGCAAATAAATCACTGGACCGAACGAGGCCAGCGAGCAACGGTTGAACACAGTGCATTCTGCAATAATCAATAGCGTCGGATTCTGGGGAAGGAATGACGCAAAACGCAACCCACCCCTCCAGGGTAGCCACTTCATAAATATATATATATAGACATACATAATTCATTTACCCGGGATCTCTTCCAGGAATCACCCCCGGGGAATTTTCGAGCTTTTAAAACGACGACAACAATAATAATAATCAGGTCATGTCAAGTGTGTTTGTGATCAGAACCGAATTCTGCGTGCAAAATCTTTTGTACCGCCGCAAACAGAGTTTGACGTGTACTCGAATGATAAAAACCACGGCACTGGCAAAATACATTAATAAAATACATTTTCGAAATCCGGTAAATCCCTTAAGTATGACTTTTCTCCAAAATAACAACGTAACAACCAACTAGGTATTAAAAATAAAAACGTTTTCCGTGTAGCAAGTCAGGATTCGTACCGTCGAGAGGTAATCTATAAGAGCAGACCTAAAAAAGCTCACCTCTTAGCCTCTCACTAAAAACATGAAAAAATATTATACATTTTTCATTCTAACATTTTTTTAAAAACCATCAATTTACTTCCAAACATGTATGGGATATTGTTTAGACACTGTACTAACCCAGAGAAAATAGCATCGACCCATTCCCCTTAAAAGGGGTAAAAACTTTAACTATTAACATGTAACTATTATTATGTAAATTCTGATTTATGCAATTGTCGAGCAGTTCTATTAAGTTAATAACGGCTGAAAAAAATTTGACAACAGGTCTTTGTTCATAATACATATCATATCACAATTTAAAAGAGTATAAAAAAAATATTAAATAACCCCGTGGTCACAAACGCCAATAAAAAAGACATGCGCTTAAGGATGAAACAAAAAAAAAGGCTAAGTATTAATTCAATTTTATCTTGATATAATTAATACTGTTTACAAATGTTTTAAAGTGATAAAATCACTTTTCTAATCATAAATCCTAAAAACTTGTGACCTCTCCGATCCCAGTATGCTTCATCTCTACTGTAAATCAGTGTTTATTTTTTTACAAAAATTCAAAATCCCCCTAGGATTTACTTTTGTACAAAGACATCATCGATGCCTTGAAAATGTTATGAAGAATTTAAATTTGTTTTCAAAATTTAAATTAGAGTATTCTTAGGTACTGTACGTTTGAAGTAGACCGAGTTGTTTATGGCCAAAATACACAGGCGTAGAGGCCCCCCCTTAAATAGAAATCTAACTTGTTTCAAATTTGTACGACCGTCTATGCTAAGCATTTGGTTTTAAACGACAACTTCGGTATTTTAGCTTTTTTTAAGTTTACTCGTGTAGTTGTGATCAGATTTTTGAAATCACGCAATGAAAATAATTAAATAAACGTATATCAGTTTTGACAAACAAATGAAATAACGAAATGAATATTTAAACCCTTAACCGTACAAATTATACACACATACTTGACCTCAGTTACTCTTTTTTTTTTTTTAACATGTACATGTTTTTTATAGACCAAGGAACCTTTTATTCGAACTTTGACGGGGACCGCAATTAATTCATTACAAAACGATTCAGTCAGTTCGAAAACGATTTCCCTGGTGACTAATAAAACAAAATTCCGTCACGCTCGTTTAAGTTGGTTTTTTTGTTGTTGTTTTTTACAACCCAGAGTTAGGGCAAACGCAACGGACCGCGAAAGAGGCGGTGACCAGGTATTATTATTGTAATGCCTTGGCAAGAAGAAACATTGGCTAAGAGTACTTAAGCACGATTTGGATTAAATTACACACTTCAAAGCCCGGACTGCCGTGTCATCACGGTAGAGGCATTTTTATTGAATGTTTTTTTTTTTTTTTAATATCCAGTCTGCAAGCAATATTATAATAATCGTTTTGTTTTGCCCTCGACTGATCGTCGTACACACAAATTGATCGGTAGAGAGCGTTGTAGTGGCGAATATTTTTCACCTATTCGAGAACCTAAGACCATATTTCAATATGCACTGCGAAAAATGATTTACACAAATGACATAAATAATGGCTGCCAATATAAACAGCCGACCGCAGGCAACTAACTATAAGAACAACATTTTTAAAATTTAAACCTAAAAAAAGCCAAAAAAAACTTGGGTCGCGCAAAGGACATACGAAATACCAAACAGTTGGGAAGGAAAAGAGGACAACTTGTTAAAGTACCTTAAGCAAATTGATGTACACAAGGTTACTTGAATTTATCTAAAAATAACCTATACATCTTGTCATTACTCGACTTGGTGTATATATTATAATTTGTTAAATAGATTTTTGATAACTAAATATGTATTAAGGGTTTTTAACTTATACCTACGCGGGTCATAGGCCAAGTTGTCGAAACCTTTAAAAAGAAAGAAAAAAAAAAGTCACCATTATTATCACGAAAATGATTTTTTGGTGACAAAGCATTTTGCAGGGAGACACTAACAAGATTTTATACCAAAATAAAAAAGTAATTGCTCTAAAACATGCCTTTGAAATAGACTTTTAGAAATCTCGTTTATTTACAAAGGGGAACATATTAAATTATACTAGTTATAAGTCGATTGAAGTTATAACAAAACTTGTCCATAATAAAGTTTCTTACAAACAATTTATTTTAGTAACTCAATTTCCTTTCCTTTTATTATTTTTGTTTGTTCAGGGTTGTATTATTTGACGAATAAACCGTTTTGTTTGATTCGTCGAAACGTTTTTGATTACTGTTCATATTTTATTTAGGAAATTGAATAAGACAGTCAACCGTGACCTAAAAAGGGCACATTATAAGCTCCTAAATATTTGAAAAACATAATGTCGAATGTTTTTAATGCAAAAGAAAGAGTTTTTGTATTTTTCGGATTTTTATTAAACGTTTATATTTAACATAAAACAACTGTTTTGTGTTTTATCAACATTTTGGATTTTTTTTACTCATTTCCTTTCATGAACAATGTTATGTACCTATTCAAAACGTCCGGTATTAAGTCCAACCCCATTAACCTAACTTTTTTCCATTAAGTGCTTAAGTGCATGGAGGGGGACACCTTGCAAAACCCCATCTCTCCCACGGCATCGTTTATTTTTCCAAATAACACAATTTTACAAAACATATTTTAGAACTTATAGCTGTCTTTCAGCTTGTATTTGTTTTGCCTTAACTTAACCCAACTTAACCGAATTTAACCTGAACGAGTTGGGTACAGATATGATACAAAGGGTTGTTTGACAATCAGTGACAGAGGGGATGAATCAGAAGGGGATGATGAGGAATATACATTAAGAATACGACACTCATTTTATAATAAAATAATTGCAATTTTGTAGTTTTTTTTTTGGTATAATAAGTAATTTTATAATATTAGACATTATTCAAATGTTTACCTTTTTTAGTTTTTTCTATAGCTCAATCTACTTTTAAAACTTAAATAGTAACGTATACACATATGTCTACATATTTTGACTGATAGAGTGCGGTAGAGTAATGGGCGCAGATAAAAATAATACTATACACAGCCCTTCCTCCAAAACTGATTGTCATCAACCAGTCAACATTTTCAACAAATTATTCTTAATTTAAACATTAAATTGCCTAATAAATACGTTACCTTTAAAGTTTAAAAGTTTAAAGCCCTAGAAAATACTAAGAAATATAAATATTTAATAATTTTATAATACTGTAAAAAATAAAAAACAATAATGGTGTTAAAAAGAAAAACTACAAAATTACAATTATTATTTTCAGAAGTAACGATTGTCCTTAATGAATTACACTCTCCCTGTGTTTGGACAATGATTTCTTGTCGGACAATTTACCGAATTACCTGCCACTGTTATAACTCATTGTAAACAAGTTATCGCAGTGGTCGATTGATTTTCATAAATAACAATTAATAAAGAGACAAAAGTGTTAAGCGACATTCTTACATAATATGAATATTCTGTGGCACGTTTAGTTGATTTTTAAGAACAGTTTTCCATAACCGTAAAACATAGTGTTTTAGTGCCATTTACAGCTGTTGTGTTAATTGAATAGAATTTTTTTTCAAACACAATACGAATCTTCAAGATGGTAAAGGGCCAACGGAACAAGTCAATGCGTTTAAATTCAAGATGACAGGAGAAGAGGAAATGGTTTCTTTGTTTTCATTAGATTGACGATTTAAATTGAGTAGATTTTTTCGAATAATTTCCCCACCCTTGTCTGTAGCGGTTCTTTGATCAAGAATCCCCCCTCCCCCCGATACAGTAAAGGTGTAATATAGATTATAGTGCACGGTGTGTAGAGTACCTACCTACCTACCTAACTACCCGCTTGGGTTTTTTTTTTTACATTGTTCCAGATTTTCTTTGAATGTTGTAAAAAAAAAAAAAAAATCGACCGCGTTATTGTTTCTCACGGAAACGATGGAAGAATACTCTCTGCACTCTCGGTAGTTCGTTAACAGTTATTATTATCATCATTATAATATTAAAAAAAAAATAATAAATACAAAACAAAACAACCGGTTAGGTTCCTGCTCTTGATTGTATTCATCCTTTTTGCGCGTCAATGTGTGTGTGTGTTTTGACCGCAATCGTTTTTTATTTCTAATATTTTTTTTTTCATTCTTTTTCTTTCCTTTGTCAGACACTCCATGGGAATATCCGTGGAACACGCCACTATGTTACAAATTTTTCGTGTGTTGTTGTGGGAACCGTGAACGGCCAAAGCAGTAGTATGATAATAATATAATGTACAGTAACAATAATAATAATAGTGATATTCATTTCGACGGTAATTACTCGGCTTAATTACCGTCCGGCTCTTCTCCGTGTGTGTATTGTTCGTGTGTTTTGTTTATGTACTATATAGTATAGCGTTTCCTCGTGGAAAACCGCAACTTAGGTAAAAAGTACTAAAAACGCGTTCGTTCCTATTGACGACGGTGTAAAAGACACAATAATATGTCGTTTTGGCGTTGTTAAATATCCTTGACGGGTCTTTGAACAGACAGATTTGAACGGAAACGCTTAAAAGATTAAAAAAAAGTGCAAAGACTTGAGGGGAACGTGATTACTACTACTGTAGTGTTTGTGTGATAAAGTGGCATAAGTCTGAGCTCGCAAATTTCTGGAAAATGTAAAATACAAGACTTTGAAAACGTGAAGGAACAAAACATTAACGTTAATTGCTCAACTTATATTACTATACCAAAGAATATTTTTAAAATTAGTTAACTTGAAAAACATTATAATCCCTTGTTGCACATACGTTTTACCGACTTATAATCAATATCAATTATTGGCAAAAACTACTAAGTTCAGGTGTAATTTTTGTGCATAAACGGTTAAATCAACTAGACTCATTTTGCACTGACACGTTTGAAAACATCCCAAGACTTTTCCCGTTATGCTCAAACCTACTGGAAAATATTTTTATTTAATAACCCCAAATTTGCATTTTTTTACTTATTTCCACTTACCCAAACACCATGGACAATACGCGGTTTTGGTTTAATATCTCTTTTAAAAAAAAATATAGGGTGCGCGTTAAAGTGTCAAAACTGAAAGCAAAATACTAAATAGAAGTAATTAAGACTGTCTCGACCAAATGGTTTCCTGATTAATCAAACAAAAAAAGCTACATTTTCAGAGATGACAACCCAAAATCAAAAAAATTAAAAAAAAAAGATTTTTTGGTAGTATAAGACTATAAATCTATAGATGTTAAAAAGAAGTTTTTTTACACAAATTTTTTTTACAAATTAACTATATTTTGGTCTCTATTAAGTCAAATTGTAAATTTACCAACCCAAATATCAGTTAAATAATACTGTGTTTAATGTTTATAGTATTTAACAGTTTTTTTTTTTTTAAAGGCTATATTATTTTAAAAAAAAAACACTGTTTTTAAAGCTGAATATTGATTTTGTACTTTACTTGTGTTTACACACATAGTAATAAAAAACAAATTTAGACAATACGGTACTGCATTTTTCATGTTTTCAGTAATCGGTAATTCTACAAAATACAAAAAAAGTATCAAAATAAGTCACTACGGTAAAATCACAGCATAGTAAGTTATCTAAGAGAAATCGTCGGAAACTTAACACCTTTAAACGACAGATTTGTATCGACATTTTGTTTTAATAAAAAAAGTGTTATTAGTTAGCTCATTTTATGGGCTGTAATAATATTGCATTTTAGAACACAAATACGCTAACACAAATGTTATTATTATTAGGTAAGACTTAATATAATATCAACGACTGTTCAAACGTCAAAATTAAAGTTTTATTATAATACAAATTGTCTGTAAACTAGTAGGTATTATTTTTAAAGATAATAATACCGAAGAAAAATTGAATAACTAAAAAATAAATGCTTTTCAAACCAGTTTACATTTAAACGATACATTTTACCGCATTGTGAGTGCATCATAAAAAATGTATAAAACATTTTTAGTCAAATTGGTTTGGTTCATTCAACAAAATTTGTGCAAAGAGTTGATAATTGGTTGTTTTTTTACTTTTAAAATGTTTATTTTATGTACTTGACACATTTCATAATGAAACGATAAAATTTTGGCAGCAATAAAGTACAAGTAGTTTGATACTCATTGGTTAAACATTTTGTTAAACGTTTCATACTCACAATTGTCATTCTTTTCAGTTCAGGTACGCCGCCATCGAATATGAACACTGGTTTGATACCGTAAAACAACAATTTGCATATTCGATGAAACATAACGATTAAATGTGTATTTGTCAATGCCCCGTGGTCGTTTTCCTGTACGCCTTTAATAATTTGGTACAGCCATATCGAAACATCTGAACGATACATTGTTAAGAAATTTAAAAAGTAATATAATAATAATCATAACGATAATAGTACACATTTAAACATTAAAAAAAAGCTGTGCCTTGTAGATTTTATACAGCTCATTTTACACTCAAAATATATAAAAATAATTTAAATAGTTTAAATAGTTTATATATTAAATTATATATTATTAAAGTGAATGTTTGGTAAGTTTTAATAACAATAGAATAAAATAATAATTGATGCACAACAAGAATAAATCTTTTAAATCAATTTCCAATTAAAATTTTAAAAGTAATTCGTGCGATAAAGTTTAAATCTAAGGCCATGTTAAATATATTTTCATTTAAATTTAATTTAGCAACAATTTTTATTAGCATAATAAACATTCATCAGGTCAATAATTATCTGTCTCACACAAAATAGTAAAAGTTACTATTTTCAGCGGCTAGCTAATTTTAATTGCTTAAACCGTTAAGTCTGTATTGGATTCCCATAGTTAATAATACCTAGAGCGCAAGAGTTGTATAATTACTTCAAATACATATAACAATAAGTCTTTGTGCCGCCATGAGAACTCGAAAGAAAATCAGTAAACAAAATAATGCATAACCTATAAAACGTAAAAATTTAAATAATTCAATTCTGTCGTAGCTCACTTTCCCACTATATTTACCGAAAGGGTTTTAAATTCATAAACTATACAATTATGAACATTATAATATATTTTCAATTTTAATTCATGCAAAACAATAACGAACTAGTATAGTTATACTACTATAATAAGTCTTTTACGCTGTCATGTTTCATAAGAAAGTCCAGAGTTCAGAAAAAAAACTGCTTTTCTTAAACATACCTTCCTATTTTAATAGTTTTTAGTCTTTTTGTAAAATCCAAAAAATAAAAAAAGCAATATAAAAACAAAAAACGCAAACAAATATTTAGAAAACAACCAAATCCAAACACTCATTAAAGTTAAATTACACATTTTTTTAAATTGATACGCACAGTATTTTTTAGGTCTTGCTCAAACAAAAATGTTTAAGACTACGCAGTTTAAAATTTTGACTATCTTCCTCAGCGAGGCAGTATTGACACAATGAGTAATAATTAATATTACACAGAGCTTATCGTTTTTAGTTGATTTTATACAGCAATATCTACTTGACGGCAACAATATTGTTGTGTATAACACTAAATAGTATGGGCTCGTATTAAAAATTCACCTACGTTTTATAATGTGTAAAACAATTATCGTACAAAAATAATCAATAACTATCCTGATGAAGAGTTCTACGATATGCTTAAACAAAGTTTAACAAATTCACTTATCAATAGACAGATAACAATTTTAATTATATGGATCATCATCGACAGGCTTGGTGAGTTAAAAGCTACGCATCTATTATTAGCAATTATTATTTCGCAATTATTAGCTTCGCTAAGCATTAGTATAAATTTGTTGCAACTTACAATGCTTTATACGTCTGTCTTAAGAGTTGTTCGACTAGAGTTAATTTTATAACACTGATATTTAGCCATTTCATGATTTAAAAATAATAATGATGATTTTAATAAAAACAAACAAGATACGTGTTATGACGGCAATTATTAAAAAATGTAAAAAAGAAACAACATAAAATAATAAGAGAACAGCGTACGAGAGAGCCACAAAGCTATGTATATATAAAGTAAGTTTAGAAGGTAACTAGCAAATATTTATTACCAAAACCGTTTAATAAATTACATTAGATTAAACTTTATTTTTGGAAAAAATACAGTATGTAGCGTCAAGTGTTTCACAGTGAATTGTTTCGACCCGCCGAGTTTTATATTGCCAGTTTTTTTTAATAATTTAAAACAACGAAAATAGATTTTCAGTAAGAGTAATTCAACATGTTTAATTGAACGTAATTCCCCCGGGGGAACAAAAAAAAGGATACCGATACTGAGTATTTTGTTTTCCAATTTTTCAACAGGAATTGGTTTGCCGGCCGCCTCCAAGAGTTTCCACAAGCCTTGAACGCCCATTGTCGACAACTATTAACTGGTGTTCATTTAAATATTAAATTTAACTTTAAAAAAACGTTTAAAATGTAAAAAAAAAGTGAACGAAGAAAAATCTTCGGCACCGTAACAAAATTTTATGAATATTTTCTAGTTTTTTGTTTTGACTTTTGTTTATCACAACAACTGACGGTTGATAACAGGTGATAAGAAACATGGTAAACTAAATCACAAAGAATCGCATGCTCCGCGCGGCCTGCCGTCGAAATCCAACGAATATTCGGCATAATAAAATACATATTAAGTATTATAACCGTAAAAAATGAATAAAATTAACTTATATATACTCCGTAGCTTATTAAAAAAAGACAAAATTATTATTTTTTAATTTTAATAGTTTTTTATCGCGACGTTGGATATTATAATGATAAAAGCAAAATTGACTGATAACAATATCTGCCGCGCATTGTGTAATTTAAATCAATTTAACCTGGGCGTTTATATTATCTTTTTAGTATTTAAAATCATTCTTTACAACCTAATGTCGTCCGACTTCAAAAACTACACACCTACGTCCTACCTAGTCGTTTTTATTGTTAATTTATGAGCTTGCAAAAATGTTTTTATGGACAACTTGCAATATTGTTAAATTGAATTAATCAAAAGAGCAACAGCTAATCAGTAAGTAAATTGCAATCGTATTAGGTATTATTACATAGTTAAAATAAATACATTTCAAGCAGTTTCGTTTATCATTCTCGAATTAAATTCTATTTTTTTAAGAAAGAGCTAATGAAAAACCATTTTTTTTTCGCTTACAATTTTAGTAAAACTCATGGAAAATACATACCGCTTTGTAGAAAAATTGGTTTCGAATAATTTATTTATTTATTTAACATTTGTTACAGACAAAGCCCAAGGTACAGATATGAAATATACATTTACTTATATTTATTTACAAAGATACAACAGATAATGATGTTGTTTATTTACTTTTTTTTTGCTGAATTCAATACTTGACTCAGAATTGATGTAAGGTTTTTAGTTTTTTTTTTTTGTAATACTTAAGAAAAAAACATGAGATGAGATTACCACAAACTATGTATTTCTTAAATTCGGGGACAATTTAAAAAAAAAGAACAAGGAATGTCATTTATCATTGAAGTACATTCAAATTATTAACGATTAAAAAAAACTGATTAAAGTAATAATATTGTGTAATAATAGTATTGTGTTTCTGTTCTGTATATATATTCTAAAAATGTTACAAATGACACAAAGGTTTTGGTTCTGGTCGAGGATAGTTCTGATACTTTAATAAAATATACTTCTACACTTAATTGTTTATATTTTATCCATAGAGGCGGTATTACAAAATTCATGTTGCAGTCGTTTTTTCTATGAATAACTATTTTGGGTAATAGTGACTCTAATAAAATCCTTATTTTATTATTTAAGAAGTAGGTAATTCATTGGAAAAAGATATCACGGCCCTTCTTTGAAGGATAGCTATAAGCTGTTATATTATATTGTGCTCGCTGCCTACATGCCTTCAGCTGTGGGAATTGTGTATATTATTATTATTATATCGTGTATAGGTACTTTTCAATAACTAACGCCTTGAGCCCTTAACCGATACCGTTTTATTCGGTATTCGAGTCGATTAAAGACAAAACGGTAGGAATAGGTAGGTAATAATTGCTGTTGTGTCGTGTCCTAGTTCTTTGGTCGTTATATTGTTGTGCGATGAAAAGGAAGATCACGTCTTATAATAATAATAAAAATAATATTATTGGGTACTACATTTTTTTTTATTGTTATTGTTGTAGGTTTATATGGGATCGTTACGGAACATTATGGTTGTCGATTGCCCGAGGGGTAAACGGGAGCTGTATTATTATATAATTATTGTTATTACACAGTGCAAGAGTGCTTATAGACCTTTATGTCTGGTTGGCATTGTCGGAAAGGCAGTTGGACCACAGATAATATTTGGCGAAATAAAATGATATCCCACAGAAGAAGAGAACCGTAGACGATAAAATCTATTTGATCGAAAAGCAGTACCACTAAAGTCCCAATAACAATATATAGGTATTGAACACAATACTTAAAGTACACATCAAATAACTGAGAACATAACGTAGGTAATGACTAAAATAATTGAAAATATTCGTTTTCTTATGATAAAGCTGTCATGATTTTATTAAAACAACAAATTATATATTTTTTGGTTTAATTTGACAGCTATTTCTGTTAATTACGGTCTGGTTTTTTAAATTTAATAGTCTTTAATTCATCCAAACCTAGTTAAAGGTCATGTGATCGTGTTCGTATCAATTGCGATTTTAGATTCCATATCCTGTACTTAATTTAATTGAAAATAAAAATCGATTTGTACAAACATAACCAATACTTACACTTGTAGTCGATACATTTGATTATTTCCGAAAATGTGTATAGGTATGTGTAATTAGGTACGTAGCCCCCCGAATGGCTTGGCCAAGTGCTTGAGTAAATACAAACAAAAATTGCATATATTTTATTCATCTGTAAAATTGTTTCCAATACCAACCTTACCTAGGTCGGAGTGTACGGTGAGTTAGATACACGTGTAGGAGCGAGGAGGAGAAATAAAATCGATGTATATCAACATAAACAACATACGCACTCTTAGTCGGTATCGTTTACTAACGTATAGTTTCGACACATACTTAAGTAAAAACAAAAAAAAATATATATATATATATATATATATATATATATATAGAATATTTAATCGTCGCTGTTATTGTGTTCAGTAGCAAAAATTGTTTCTTTTACACGTCAGTGAATTTCGGTTAAATACCAAACTAAAATAAAACGGGATGTATATCAAAATTTCTCTTCTCTTTTGTGCGTTATACTTCTTTACGGCAGTACGGGTAAATAAAATACAGATAATATTAATATTAATAATAAAAAAAATACTCAATAAGCATTATAGTATAAGTACCTATGCCATGTTTTGCAGAGTGTTGGACTCAGAGAGCACCAAATAAACTCATGCGTTGAATTGTCTGAGAGGTACAAGATAATTAACAATGTAATTCCCAGGATGAGAACCATGACACATTTGATGGATTTGGGATATAAAATGTTGATAAACTTTTTTCCATCCATAGAAAGTAATGTTCTAACTTAACATACATTAAATACCTAAGGTTATTCTATTCACACACACATGATAGCAGTGTGCCAAGTGCCCAAATATGCAGTACCTACGATAAAAAAAAAAGGAGGGGCAGTGTTCCAAAAAATAAAAATTGGGCATTTTTTGATATATTAGGTACCAACGTAATTAAGGTTTAAGTAATAATTAGGTAACGGTTTCAAAGAAAATTGTAAGTTTTGTCCTTATTTGACTTACTTAAAAATAAAGGCCCTTTATGTATTGAACTTTTATAGTGAAGCAAAATCAGTATTATGTTATTTGGCTGGATACATACGTTACTCTTTTACTTTCCGTTAGAGATAGAAGATAAGATATTAGAGATAAAAGATAAGAGAAAAGAGATAATTGATAAGAAATAACAAATCTATGATTCAATGAATTCTATATACAACTAACAGAAAGAAGGGGAAGCACATAAAAGAAGCTATACAATTGTATAAGTTAAAAAATTACCCTTTTAGTGAGTTTTAGTAAAATTAACAGTGTACAAAAACTATTAGAAACATCGACTGACTTGCAAACCTCATTAATATATTTTTCGCAGATATTAGATACAAATTAAATACCCAAATAACTGGTAGTGTTACACATTGAAATTTCAGTATTTAAAGAGCCTTTTAATCAAGTCAAAAATGGTCAAAACTAAAAATTTAATTTTACACCGTTAAAATATTAATAAAAACTACTGATTATATCCGATAATGTTCATTTTTAATTTATATGTACAATTAGTTATCTGTTAGTTTATTAGTCATCTTTTATAGTTACCAATAATATATCCGTGTTTAAGCTATTTTTCTCTCGAAGGAGAAACACTGAACCATAGGTATGACCTATGGCTAATGTCTTACAGCGTTTTAGACATTTGACAATAAATCTAACCTCTCTTTCCCACCTTGACGAGTGAGGATAACTTATACATTTAACTGAACTTTATTAATCAAAAAAATATTATAATAGTACCAACAACAGCTGTGATCAATAATAAAACCATGCCGCAATTATTAATAAATTTGGCCAGTGTAGAAAAGGAGGATTGGATAGATTGGGAGGTAACAACAAAATAATAAATATAAAACAAAATTATTAACTTAGAATTTTTTTTTTTAATTGTATAAAAAATTAATAATTATTTTTTGTGTTATGTGACTAATTAATATTAGGAACAAAATTTGACTACTCACGAAGTAAGAATTTTCATGGGAATGTTTACCATACAAGACAAAAAGGGTGTACACGACGGGCTTCTTACCTATGCCGAATTAGTGAGCTTAATTAACAACGATTTAACCCTAAAACCTGACGTTAAGGGGAATATAAAAAATGAATTCAATAGTAAAGATTTATAGAATATGAGCTTAAAGTTTAAAAACTTGAACCATTGTTGCTTATTTTTAGATGGCGATTTAATTAACGCACAAAAATTCTTGGCGGCCATATTGAAACATAAACCAGAAGTAAGGAAACGGTTAGCCGTAAAACCAAATCTTACACTCCCGTTTATGTATGCTTAAAATGCTAAATTTACAAAGATACAATATATTTTGTATAGGGCAAAGGATTAGACAAGAAACAGATACAAATATGCTCTAGTTTGTATAAATTTGATTACGACCATCTTCCTGCTGCAAGCCTAAAAGACTTACTACTAAAGTTACAAATTGTTTCCAATGAGTATGATTCGCTATTAGAGTTCGAGCAATTCCGTGAGTGCAAAATTAAATTACTGTAACATAAATTATAATAATTAATTTAAAAAAAATATAGTTTAATAATCTGATTTTAGAAACCGCTGCAAATGAGTTAAAAGAGCTCTTAGTCTTATGGTCGGAATATAATAAAGACGTCGACGCAAATGTAATCTTGTAAAACTTTTCGATATTTATGTTGTTTTTAATAACATTTACATTAATTATTTCGATGAATAATAATTTATATTGATGATTTTTCAGTCGCCGTCCATCACTAGTATGGAAGTTAGGGAATATCTTTGCGATTTTTCTATGTACGATAGAAACGGTGATGGTGTGCTCAACTATTGGGAATTCGAACCGATCGCCCATCTCTACATGCCAGAGTATAGAGCAATGGATGTTTTGAAGAAATATTCCGATTTATACTGTAATTATTTAAAATGTTATATATTTGTTCTAAAATGTTAACTATTTTCTAGAACATTATGTAACAAATGATTTCAACATAAAAAAGGTACAATAAATAAATGCCAACTAATTGGAAGGTCTTTAAAAAAGTGACAACGGTAGAAACCCCGCAATTTAACCTCTTAGAATATTATTTTAATGTACATTTGTTATTGTTTTTAGATTTCTATAGTTATATATTAAAATATATTAAAATATATTTTTGATTTTTATTATTTATAAGATGTTTATTTTGTTTTAGTTACACCTGAAATTCCGGAATTTATCCCGATTTCTCAATCTTACCCTGATATATATATAGGAGATTATTGGGATGGTACGGATCATTAATGTTAATAAAAATTATAAATGTTGTACAATAATTTTAGCATGCCTAATTTGGTATATAACAAAAAATACTGTTTTTAGGGAAATGTACAATGAGCGCTGCTATGTTCTTGCACCTGAAATATTTTTTACGTTTTGAACGTAAACGTTTAGCGCCAAAGAAACCTAAAAAAAAATCAAGATTCCTATGCTGCTATGGTCACTGAAATTTTGGAAACGGAAGGAACCGCCCAATTCCACTACACAGTACATTAACACAAACATATTGATACGATACTATTAATTTATAATTTTCTTTATTATTATTACTCCTTAGTTTTATAATATTGTAATCTTGTCGGATATTATAGGATTAATACAACTTATAGTTTTTTTTTGTCGTTTGTTCTCTAGCCTGACCACCGTTATTAAATATAATACTAATTATTATTTTTACGGCTTATTGTTACACTTTTTTTCCTATGTAAACTTCAGTTTCGGATAGGTACATGCATTTTTAACTTAAGTATAATAATCATGGAAGTATAACAATGATATTAGTTGTTAAAACATATACGATTTTTTTTTTACATACATTGAAACATAAACCAGAAGTAAGATAACGGTTAGCCGTAAAACCAAATTATACGCTCCTGTTTATAGGTGCGTAAACTGCAAAATGTATAAAGAAACAATTTTTTTTGCTTAGGGCAAAGGTTTAGACAAGACACAGACACAAATATGCTCTAGTTTGTATGCAGGTGGTTCCGATCATCTTGCTACTGCAAGCCTAAAAGTCTTACTACAAAAGTCACATACTGTTTGTGATGATAATTTTTCGCTACTAGAGTTCGAGCAAGTCCATGAGTGCAAAATTATATTGCTATGAAATAATTTAGTATAATAAAATTTGTATAAAATAAGATAAAAGTAAATGTTTAATAATCGGCTTTTAGAAACTACCGCAAAAGAGTTAAAAGTGCTCTTAGTTATTTGGTCGGAATATAATAGAGACGTCGACGCAAATGTAATGTTGTAAAACTTTTAGATTTTTATGTTGTTTTTGATAACATTTACATTTTTAATTGAATAATAATTTTAATGATAATTTCGCAGTCGCCGGTTTTTACCAGTAAAGAAGTTCGGAAATATATTTCCGATTTTACTAAGTACGATAGAAACCATGATAATGTGCTTCACCATTGGGAATTCAAACCGATCGCCAGACTTCATTTCTCAGAATATAGGCTAATGGATGTTTTGAAGAAATTTTCAGATTTCTACTGCAATTATTTTTAATTTTATATATTTGTTAAGAAAAGTTAACTTTTTTTTAGAACATTATGTAACGTATGATTAATTAACGCTGCTATGTTCTTGTACATGAAGTATTGTTCTGTTTTGAACATAAAAAAGCGCAATAAATAAATGTCAATTGATCAATTGTCAATTAATTTAAAAATGTAGGAATGGAAAAAACACGCAATTCTACATCATTGAATTTAAAAATTAAATTAATTATACAATATTAGTTCAATGTACATTTGTTATTATTTTTTTATTTCTATTATTATACATAAACATAATTTTTTTGATTTTTATTATTTATAAGATATTTATTGTGTTACACCTGAAATTCCGGAATTTATACCGATTTCTCAATCTTACCCTGATATAGATACAGTGGAAATTTGGGATGGTAAGAATCATTTATGTTAATATAATATATTAATGTTATACGAGAACTTAAAGATAACATACTGAATCACTTATAAAAGAAAATACGATTTTTTAGTCAATTGTTTAATGAGCGCTGCTATGTTCTTGTACATGAAATATTATTTAATATTTGAACATAAACGTTTAGAACCATAGAAACCCAAAGATAAATCATCAACATTTCGACATTTGGTCACTGGAAATGTGGAAACGAAAGTAACTTTCCAATTCCACTACATAGCACATTATCACAAAAGTATTTAAACAACATTATTAATTTACAATTTTCTTTCAATTATTATTATTACTCCTTAGTTTTTACTATATAATATTATAAATATTTGACTTGTCTGGTATTCTAACTTATATGATATACACTATTTTATTCAATTCATTTTATTTATATATACGAATACAAATTAAGTCCTCTAATTTTTTTGTTCTATCCACTCTTATCAGATCACTGTTTACGTGAGCGATACCTATTTTTCATGTCTGTTGCTTTTTGTAAAACTATAAAACAAAGTAATATTGTTACCATATCCATTCCACTGGAATTTTTAACTGTAGCTTTATATTTTACCACTGTTTTGAAGAATAAACTAATATTTTTCTTAGTACAAGCTTTATTTGTTTATTAACTTTTTGTTATTACTATGTTTGTTTGTATTTTAAGTATAATTATAATTGCTATATTAGTAAAATTTAGGATACAGTATCTTTGCCTATGAGAAAATTGTACAAGCTAAAAGGTATCAGATAAAATTCTTATCATATAATGATCAACAATTTATACGTCACGCGGTCGGATTATATTCAACAGACATTTTGAATACTGAGAATCATATGTTAATATAAATTATAAATGTTATACAATAATTTAAAGGCACGAGCCTAATTTGGTATATAACAAAAAAAAACTGTTTCTAGCAAATGTTTAATTTGCGCTGCTATGTTCCTGAACGTGAAATATTATGTACGTTGTGAACAGAACCGAAACAAATAATCGTTAAGGTTCATAGACCTCAAACCTGTAGGACTAGACTTAACAGCCATCTTTACACAATAATATGAGAAAAAAATATGTTTTTATATCAACAGAAAACAATATACGTACTCGTAGTCGGTATCATCAACTAAATTTGAATAAATACAAAAAACAAAAAAGCTTATTTTTTCGTCGTTCTTATTGTCAGTACCAAATATCGTTGCTTTAACACGTTAGTGAATTTTACTGGAATACTAAACAAAATAAAACGAGATGTATTTCAAAATTTCTCTTCTCTTTTGCGCGTTATACTTCTTTACGGCAGTACGGGTAAGTAAAATACCGATAGTAATTTAATAATAAAAAAAAACCTAATAAGCAATATAGTAAGTTTAATGTTTATTTTACAAAAAACCAACATTATTGAATTGGTTGGTATTCGATGTTTTGTAGACTATTGGACTAAGCGAGCAACAAATCAACTTGTGCGTTCAATTGTCTATGAAGTACAATAAAAGTAATAATGAAATTAACTATTTCCGTAGGAGACCTGTGCCAGACAGTACAGGTTTTTTTCATTAAAATCGAGATAGGATTGTTTATCATTTTAACTGAACTTTAATAATCAAAGAAATATTACAATAGTACCAACAACAGCTGTGGCCGATAATAAAACTATGCCGGAATTATTAATACATTTGGCCAGTGTAGAAAAGGAATCTGACGATTGGGAGGTAATAACAAAATAATAAATATAAAACAAAACTATACACATATATTTTTTTATTTAAATGTATAAAAAATTAATAATACAATTTTGTGTTGTGTGACTAAATAATATTAGGAAAAAAGTTTGACTACTCTCGAAGTAAGAATTTTCGTGGGATTGTTTACCATAAAAGACCAAAAGGGTGACCACGATGGACTTCTTACTTATGCCGAATTAGTGAGCCTAATTAACAACGATTTAACCCTAGTACCTGACGTTAAGGAGAATATAAAAAATGAATTCAATAGTAAAGATTTATAGAATATGTGCTTAAAGTTTAAAAACTTGAACCATTGTTGTTTATTTTTAGATGGCGATTCAATTAACGCACAAAAGTTCTTGGCGGCCATATTGAAGCATAAACCAGAAGTAAGGAAACGGTTAGCCGTAAAACCAAATCTTACACTCCCGTTTATATATGCAAAATGCTAAATTTATAAACAAACAATATTATTTGCTTAGGGCAAAGGTTTGGACAAGAAACAGATACAAATATGTTCTAGTTTGTATACATGTGGTTCTAATCATCTTCCTACTGAAAGCCTAAAAGACTTATTAAAAACGTTACATATTGTTTCCAATGACTATAATTCGCTTTTAGAGGTTGAGCACTTCCGTGAGTGCAAAATTGTATTATTATAAAATGTTTTATTAAAATTAATTTTGTATAAAAAGAATTGTTGAATAATCGGCTTTTAGAAACCGCTGCTAATGAGTTAAAAGAGCTCTTAGTCTTTTGGTCGGAATACAATAAGGACGTCAACGAAAGTGTAATATTGTAAAACTTTTATATTTTTATGCTGTTTTTAATAACATTTACATTTTAAATTCCTATAAATAATAAATTATATTGTTGATTTTGCAGTCGCTGTTTTTCACTAATAAAGAAGTTAGGGAATATATTTCCGATTTTTCTATGTACGATAGAAACAATGATGGTGTGCTCAATTTTCGGGAATTCATACCAATCGCCAAACTTTACTTTGGAGAGTATAATGCAAAAGATGTCTATAAAAAATATTCTGATTTCTACTGTAATTATTTAAAATTGTATTTATTTGGTTGTATAAGTTCTTCTATAAGTTATTCTTATAAGTTAACTTATTTCTAGAAGGCCATTAAACGAATGATTTAATAAATGCTGCTATATTCTTGTGCATGAAGTAATATTATGTTTTGATCATTAAAAAAGTGCAGTAAATATATGTCAACTGATCGCGAGGTCATTAAAACAGTGAAAACGAAAGAAACCACGCAATTCTATCTTATAGAATTTTAAAATTAAATTAAAAATACAATATTATTTCTAATGTACATTTGCTAATATTTTTCGATTACTATTAATCTTTATTAAAATACGTTTTCATTACTTATAAGGTATTTTTTCTGTTTAAGTTTCACCCGAAATTCCGGAATTCCGAAAAAAACTGGTCTCTAAATCTTGCTTCGGAGGAGATTCAGCTGACAGATTGGATGGTAAGAATCATTTGTGTTAATATAAACTATTAATGTTATACGATAACTTAAAGATAACATACTGAATCACTTATATAAGAAAATACGATTTTTTAGTCAATTGTTTAATGAGCGCTGCTGAGTTCTTGTACATGAAATATTACTTACGTTTTGAACGTCAACCTTTACAACCAGAACGTGAAAAAAAATCGTCAAGTTTCCTATGCTGCTTTGGTCACTGAAAATGTGAAAACGAAAGTAACTACCCATTCCACTCCCATTCCAGTTTAACACAAAAATATTAATATAATATGATTAATTTACAATGTTCTTTATTTTATTATTATTACTCCTTAGTTTTAAAATTGTATTATATTATAAATATTTGGCTTGTATGGTGTTCTAAATTATAATTTATTTTCTATGTTTATTTGTATGTTATTTATATATACAGATATTACTTAAGTCTACAAATTTTTTTGTTCTATCCCACTTCATCAGATAACTGTATACATGGTTTACCCATCGTTAATGTGGTATTTTTCCAGCTGGTTTATTGATTACAACTCTATTAATACTAATTTATTAAAGTAAGTATAGGAATCGGATCCTGGGTTCGCCATACCCACAACACTAACAACAGTTCGATCTTTAACTTTGATTTGCTATAACTTAGCAACAAATGGTGTGATCGAGTCTTGGTACTAGAACAATTTAAAAATGTGTTCTCAGCATAAATCCTTTGATGATTATAATTTAAATGGTATGAAATAATTTAAAGACTAGATGTTTAAACAATAATATTCAATGCGACTGTATTTATCATATAAGTAAAAAAGGATTTTATTAACGTTAACCTAAATAAGTTAACAACATGAGTTGTTTGTTATTGTTATCATTAAGTTAACATGGTTATATATTGTTATTGTAGTGATGTTAACGAAATACATTTATAATCTGTAACACTTGTCTGCATCCTACAATCTAGGTCCAGCTAGATTCTCATAATATTACAATAGTGTCTATGAGTTAAATTAAATTAATCTAAGCACATACTGCTTTACTGTTGTGGATTAATACAACCAATATGTTTTACTGTCGTTAAAGCGTCCTCTAGCTTGACCACTGTTATTAAATAGAATACAAACGTTTTTTACGGAATTTATTTACTCTATTTTTATTTCTCTAAACTCCAGTTTGGGATACGTGAACTTTCAACTGAACTATAATAATCATAGATGTTGCAATCATCAACACTGTTATGGGTTTTGATTCTTACTTAAGGGGAGAGAAGATCACGGCAAAACTTCCTTTTTAGCCTTTTTAGAATAAGCATATTCAAAAAAGAATTATTCTAAGAATATTAGAATAATTATCTAGGGATTTATGATAACGGGCGTAAGTTAATGGGCACCTTGGAAGATAGTTTTAATTTATACCTAGGTCTCAGTGTAATGGTAAGTTAGATACATGTGTAGGAGCGAATAAGAGAAAAAAAAATTGATTTAAATCAACATAAACAAATGCGTACTGTTAGTCCATATTATGTACTTAAGTATAGTTTTGACGTATACTTGAGTAAATAAAAAAAAAAATAGTAGGTATATTTCATCGTCATTGTTATTGTGTTCAGTAGCAAAATTTGTTTCTTTGACACGTAAGTGAACTCCAATTTTCTAAATACTAAACTAAAATAAAACGGGATGTATTTCAAAATTTCACTTTTATTTTGCGCGTTATACTTCTTTACAGTAGTACGGGTAAGTAAAATACAGATAATAATATTAATTAGAAAAGAAATACTTAAGACACAGTATAATAAGTTCAATATGTATTTTACAAAAACCAAACATTATTGAATTACGAATGCAATGATTTGCAGAGTATTGGACTAAGTGAGGGACAAATCACCTCATGCGTTCAATTGTTGGAGAAGTACATTACAAGTAATAATGAATTAAACATTTTTCTGCCCATAGAAAGTAATGTTCTAACTTAACATATATTGAAATATACAAGGTTATTCTATTTACACGTAAATGATAGCAGTGTATAGAGTGCCCAAACATGCAGTACGAAGGATAGGAGGGGGGCATGGTAATCATAAAAATAAAAATTGGACAATTTTTGTTATTATAGGTACCTACATAATTTAGTAATACTATAACGGTATTAAAGAAACTTTGAGTTTTTCCCTTTTATTACTTACTTTAGGGTCTCTAAATACTAATATTTTAAAGTGAAGCAAAACCAGTCATGTAGGTATAAGCAAATTTGTTTAAATATATTTGTTATTTATCTGGATAAAGGAATTTTAATGTCGCCATTTTTACGTTACTCTTTCACTTTCCATTAGAGATAAGAGATAAAAGATTGAAGATTAAAGATTTAATATATGAGTTAAGAGGTTCCGTGGAGCGGGCACAATAACTAGTTTTTTTTGGCTTTTTCTATTAATATATTCTACATTCTAGAGGTGTACAACTAACGGAAAGTAGGTGAAGCGGATGAAAAAAGTTACCCAATTTTAGTAAAATAATGCTCCTTTTAGTGGTTTTTAGTAAAAAATTTAACATTATACCAAAAACTATTCAAAACATCGACTTGGAAACCTAATAAATATACAGGGTGTAATGTAAAGTTCTACTGAGTTTAAAATGAGACATTCAGGATTCATTATGGGTACAATAAAATATAATATATATATATATTTTTTTTAATTTTAAAATTATTTATATTAGAGCTCGTATCTCATTAAAATATGTTTAAAACAATATTTACAGAATAGTTGTCCGAAAACTTGGAAAATTCGGGGAAAACTAAACGGATATTTATATAAACTTGCGAACATATGCGTTATAACCTCTAAGTAATTTTCTCAGAATTTAACTACTGCAATTGTATTTATTAACCCTAACGAAGATGGGCATACGGGAGGCTATTAGGTCAAAATTGTTGCGTTAATTATAATAAAAAGCCAGTACAGTGGGGTCGGGGCATAGTGGGAACGGAGAGGTCACAGGTCTACAGATTTTATTACAACTAAAAGTGATAAAATCACTTTTAAATAAACGCTTTGATGCGAATCTGTAGGTAGTATGTTCAAACCAGTTAAAGCGGTTTAGAAGAGATCGTGGGAGTCCCAAATAAATAGTGGGCGCGAGAGGATCGGTATCAATTTCGAGTCGGTCCTCCATAAACTTTTTTGTTAACAACAAAATTAAGTTTACAAGTACGCCTATATGGCTGTAAAACAGTGAGAAACGTGCTTTCTTCTTTCCTAACAGTGTTATTTCTTAAACGGCAAACGGCGGTTTGGTCTTGCAGCCATATTTTATTTAAATTGAACTTACGATTATACCGGGTGTTCAATCATTCCCGTTCTCGGACTCTGAAGATTTTTCTTCCTTACCCCACCCCCCGGAGGACTAAAACCGCGCTAGCATATTTGTCTTGAACCTAAAGACCCCAGGCCCGCTACCACCTCTTAGGGGCACCTAAGAGGCCCTTACATACTGAAAGTGACCTTTCCCTCCCCCCAAATTTCGTTTTTTTGTATACGTCATAACTCCGTGGCAAACGGTCTAAAAGACTTGGTATAAACGTCGACCATTTTGGTTCGGAATACCCTAACTGGTACGCCTTCACTCCAGGGGTCTACGATTCCTTCCAAGGGACCCCCCCAAGTTTTGGGCCCAGAGCCCTCAAACTCAGTACCCACCTTTGGGTGTCCTAATTTGGTCTGCTCATCAAATTTGGTGAAATTCGGATAATTTTACACTCGTGGTTAACGGTTTTAGTGTTTTACACCGTGTCTACAGCCTGTTGATCGTAAGTGCTGTTATCACGCCGTAGTTTAGTGCAAATCGCGGCAACCCGATTTGCGCCGCCAGTGCGCGTTTGTGTATGTATCCTCAACTATGGCAACCATAAACACAACCGAGGAGAAAAAGTTGGCAATCAATAGGGAAATGACCCCTCCTACGGCATATCAGCTCTTGAATAAGCACAACCCCAGAGACGATAAAGAATCTTTTGTGGTCCGAGGTTATCAAGAGGCATAAAGCACCAAAGCTTGATCTAATTACTACTAAAACGGCGAAACTTATAGTAAAATCGATGGATGAGGACACAGCCAATACACTGAAAGCTATCGTTAAAGATAAGAACTATCTTATAAAGGAGGAATCGGCTAAATGCCCTAGAATTATTATTCGGGGTGTTGATTCTCTAGCACTTCCGAACACACTGCCGGTTAGTATTGCTGTGCAAAACCCTGATCTTGAACCATCTCCCGATACAGCGGCGAACTTTATTAAGCCAATTTTTCGACGTGGCCCTAGGGATAAGCCCATAATCAATTGGATAGTTGAGGTGCACCCGGAACTTTTTGTAAGGCTACTCAGAGATCTAGACCCATCACTGTTCATCTCCCGACTCACTGGGAACAATAGGGTAATACACGGGTCAGCTATAGTGGTCCTAAATCCAGCCATCAACATCCTTGTGAGAGACGACTTGACGGTCCCCCTTGCCGTGTGCCTCTCAAAAATTACTCGCACTCCGCCAAGACTCAAGAGTATAAACGGTGATTCACTCACACATAGCAACCTAGAAACTGACTACGGCCAAAGTGTAAATTTACCCTATTTTTGGTGTTTTTCCTAAATAAAAAAAGTTGACTACAGATTTTTGAAAAAATTGTACATGTTATAGTTCCATTTATAATCTACCTTCGATCTAATTTTCAAAACTAAATCTCTAAAACTTAGCTTAAAAAAGTTAAATAAAGATATTTTTTTAATCTCTTCTAGGGAAAAGGGTTTATGGTATTTTTTTGGTTTTTTAATGTTTATCGATTGTACTAAAGTTTGAAAAACCATTAATATAAATTTGGAACTTTTTCGCCTATTTTGAAAAAAGTTATAGAGCTTCGTAATTTTAAGTTGAAAAATGTGTAAATTTGTTAGGTTTTTTTCTCGATTTTGATGGGGAAGGCGTGACTTTTTAAAATTTTGGCCTAATAAGGTACTTTTCAGGTATGATTTCTGATCTACAGAGTTGCTACATGAAGAAATCGGTTCAGCGGTTTACGAGATATCGTGGGTCCAGACAAAAAAAAAAAAATCCATTATTGTAAAAACAATAACTTCTCAGCTCCGCACCGAAGCTAAAAAAACTAGGAATTTTCTCCGCTCCACGGAAAAACATTTTAACATGTATATGTTTCGGTATATTTGTATCACTTATGACATATCTCTAATATCTTATTAGTTATATCTTATATATTATCACATGAAAGTTAAAATGCTATGTGAAAATGGTGACATGAGATTTCTTGTATCTAGCCCGAAAATATATTTTAATGTTAAACTATTCTTATCTTGAAAGAGAAACATTTACCCATGAGTAATGTCTTATGGCGTTTTAGGCCTTATATAATATACTTAACCTTTCCTCACCACCCTTTTACCACCTTATACCGCCTATACAATCTTATCACTATGCTATCTCTCCACCAACCGCTCCTTCTCAAAATACAGGTATAAGATGTTGTTTAAGCGTTATTCAGTATGGTATCAATGATTTCCTTGGTTAAGAAAATGTTTATGGTTCCTTTTTTCTTTAAAATCGGGTTAAGGTTATTTATATTCTTAACTGAACTTTATTAATCAAAAATATATTACAATAGAACAAACAATAGCTGTGATCAATGATAAAACTATGCCGGAATTATTGATTAAGTTGGCCTTAGAAGAAAAGGAATCTGATGATTGGGAGGTAATTACTAAAATAATAAATATAAAATAAAATGATCTACTAAAAATTTCTTTTAATAAAATGCATAAAAAAGAAATACACTATTTTCATTGTGTAAAAAAATTAATAAATATTTTTTGTATTGTATGTCTATTCAATATTAGGAAAACGGTTTGACTACTTTTGAAGTAAGACTTTTCGTGAGAATGTTTACCATACAAGACCAAAAGATTGAACACGACGGGCTTCTTACCTATGCCGAATTGGAGAATCTAATTGACGATGGTTTAAACCTAGAACGTGACGTTAAGGAGGAAATAAAGAAAGAATTAAAAAGTAAAGATTTATAAAATATGGGCTTAAAGTTTAATAACATGACACATTGTTACTTTTTTTTAGATGGTGATTCAATTAACGCACAAAAGTTCTTGGCGGCCATATTGAAATATAAACCAGAAGTAAGAAATCGATTAGCCGTAAAACCAAATTGTACTCTCCCGTTTATGTATGCTTAAAATGTCAAATTTATAAAAATATAATTTATTTATGTTTAGGGCAAAGGTTTAGACAAGATACAGATACAAAGATGCTTCAAAGTGTATAACTGCAATTACGATCACTATCCCACTGCAAGCCTAAAAGAGTTACTGCAATCGTTACATATTGTTTCCAATGACTATGATTCGCTATTTGAGTTCGAGCACTTCCGTGAGTGCAAATTTATATAATTGTAAAATAAATTATGTTAAATAAGTTTTTATAAAAAATGATAAACAATGTTTTACATGTTTAATAATCTGTTAGAAACCGCCGCTAATGAGTTAAAAGAGCTCTTAGTCCTTTGGTCGGAATATAATAAAGACGTCGACGCAAATGTAATGTAAAACTATTGAATTTGTCGTTTTTAATAACATTTACATTATTAATTCCGATGATTAAAAATGTATATTGATGATTTCGCAGTTGCCGTTATTTACTAGTACACAAGTTCGGGAACACATTGACAACTTTACTTTGTACGATAAGGACAATAATGGTATTCTCGATTATTGGGAATTCGAACCGGTCGGCAATCTTTACTTCCCCATATACAAACCAATAACCATTTTCAAGAGATATTCCGATCTCTACTGTAATTATTTAAAAATTAATATTTTTTCTAAACAATTATTTGACGAATGATTTAATAAGCCTTACAATGTTCTTGAACAATAACTGTTGTTATGGTTTGAACATAAAAAAACGTAATAAAATAAGTGTCAATCGATCGCAAGGACTCCAAAAATTTGGCAACGGAAGAAACCACGCAAATTTACCTCATACAATTTGAAAATTAAATTAATAATACAATATTATTTCTACACACTTCTGTACATTTGTTATTATTTTTCGATTTTTTTTATTATATATTTAAAATAAATTGTTGATTTTTATTAGTTATAAGGTATTTATTTTGTTTTAGTCAAACCCGAAATTCCGAAATTTAAACGGGTCTCCTGCTTTGGACTAGCATGCTGGTTAGATGGTAAGAATCACTTATATTAATTTAAATTATTAATGTTATACGATAACTTAAAATTACTTAAGCAAAAAAAAAAATTTTTTAGACAAATGTTCTATGAGCTGCTATGTTCTTGTACATGAAATATTGTTTACGTTTTGAACGTAAACGTTTAGAACCAAAGAAACCCAAAGAAAACTCATCAAGATTTCCATGCTGATATTGAGAAAACGAAAATAACTTCCCAATTCTACTACATAGCACTTTTTCACAAACATATTGATACAATATTATTATTTTAACATTTTCTTCATTTTATTATTATTACTTCTTAGTTTTAATTATATAATTTTACAAATATTTGGCTTGTCTGGTATTCTAAATTATAATTTATTTTATATTTTATGTTTATTTATATATACAGATACAAATTAAGTCCTCCAATTTTTTTGTTCTGTCCAACTTTTTACTGTCTATACCCAGCGTTGATGTGGCATTTTCCATCTGGTTTATTGTAACTGGTTACTTATTAACAAACGGTGTGATCAATCTTGGTACAAGAACAATTAAAAAATGTGATCTCAGCATAAATCCTGTGATGATTATTATTAAAGTAGTATGAAATAATTTAGAGACTAGAATCAACTGAACTATAATAATCATAAATGTATAACAATGATATTAGTTGTTAAAATATTAAAATATTAACCTTTTTTTACTAAATAATATGCTTAACCTTCCACGCCTTATTAAAAACTAGACATTTTGCACTATACAATTTTCTTTGAATAACCATAACTACAAAAAAAACTATTCAAGTAGCTGAGATCGATTATAAAACTTTGCTGTACTTATTGAAATGTGTGGACAACGTAGAAAAGAATTCTTTTGACTGGCAGGTTTTTATTTCTTTATTTAAAATATACGATATATTCAGGCTTAGTACAATAAGTATGATGCCACAAGTGATTTATAGACAATGAGAAAAAGAAGCCACTCACTGATAGCAAATTTATGGGTTTTAATTATTATTTAAGGCAAGAGAATATCACGGCAAAACTTACCTTTTAGCCTTTTGGTAGAGTTGTAGGTATATTTTGTAGTGAAATATTTTGTAAAAGAATATTAGAATGATTATCTAGGGATTTATGATAACGGGTGTAAAGTTATTTGGTACCTTTAAAAACATTTTTGATTTGTACCTAGGTGTAATGGTATGTTAGAAACATGTGTAAGAGCGAGGCAGAGAAAAAAAAATTGATTTATAGAAACATAAACAATATACATACTCATATTCGATAATATCTACTAAGGTATAGTTTTGACGTATACTTGAGTAAATAAAAAAAAATAGTAGGTATATTTCATCGTCATTGTTATATTGTTCAGTAGCAAAAATTGTTTCTTTGACACGTAAGTTAATTGCAGTGTCCTAAATACTAAACAAAAATAAAACGAGATGTATTTCAAAATTTCTCTTTTGTTTTGTGCGTTGTACTTCATTACGGCAGTATGGGTAAGTAAAATACAGATAATAATACTAATAAAAGAAAAATACTTAAGAAGCAGTATAGCGAGTTCAATGTTTATTTTACAAAAACCAAACAATATTGAATTGCGTATGCGATGATTTGCAGAGTATTGGACTAAGCCTGCCCCAAATCAACTCATGCGTTCAATTGTCTAAGAAGTACATTACAAGTAATAATGAATTTAACCTTTTTCTGTCCATAGAAAGTAATGTTCTAACTTAACATATATTAAAACACACAAGGTTAATCTATTTACACACAATTTGTAGCAGTGTGTCGAGTGCCTCAATAGTTCTAATGATAGGAGGGGGCATAGTGGTCATAAAAATAAAAACTAGGCATTTTTTGTTATTTTAGGTACCAAGATAATATTTTAGTTAAATTATATATGTTTGGGCTTTATTTCGGCAGTCGCCATCCCTCACTACCGCAGTGTCTATCAGTGTCATCTTCTACATTACCTACTAACTACTAACTATTTACACATAAATGATAGCAGTGTGTATTGTGCCAAAACATGCAGTACGAAGGATAGGAGGGGGTATAGTGATCATAAAAATAAAAATTGGGCAATTTTTGTTATAATAGGTACCAACAATAATTTAGTAATACTATAACGGTGTCAAAGAAATTTTGACTTTTCCCCTTTTATTACTTACTTTAGGGCCTCTAAATACTAATATTTTAAAGTGAAGCAAAACCAGTCATGTAGGTATTTGCAAATTTGTTTGAATAGATTTGTTATTTAGCTGGATACATTTATATATTTTATGTCGCCATTTTTATTATTATTATTTTTTTTATAATGTTTTTATGAACTCACAATCTTGTTTGTCGTTCCGGGTGGAATCTTGCAACTCAAATTTCGAGCACTTCCCGATTAGCTATCCGGCTGAGACTTTCAGGGTAGCTCACAATTGGATGACAATGCATTATTAATCCACAAGAGGTTCAAAATTCCAACCCTAAGGGGGGTAAATGGGGTCAGTTTCTTGTCCGTCGTTCCGGGTGGAATCTTTCAATTCAAAAAGACTTATTTCTCACCCTCCAGCAAAAATTATGCGTGCTGCGTTTGGGCGTGAACGGTGCTCAGATATGAGCGGTACCAGGTTCAAACCCGTTCCCATCATTACACCTTTTTGCATTTTCTTACAACTTTTAAGATAATTTATATAGTAATTACAACTTAATTTCAACTTTTATGATATTTTATACAGTAATAAATCTAAAATTATAAGCTTTTAAATTGATTACTAATTCTTATGATAATCCTTTTGACCATGCAGCCTTTTCTAATGTAATCACCGCTTACAGACGAAATGGACGGATTTTATTATATAATATTATTTTTATGTATATAAATATACGTACATACGAAAACGAAAAAGAACAAAATAACTAAAGTAGATTAAAAAATTAATCTAAAAATAACGTTTTTATGCGCCTTAAAAAGTATAAAATAACCCTCCGGGGGTCTTGATAACCAAATAGGACAGGTGAAATAGAAAAACATGGGGCGCATCTTTACTACTTCACACGTCTGAATACATAATAACATTCTCTTCTCATTAGTAACTACCTTAACTCATAATTCATGCACAATCATCTTTTATCTTCTAAATAAAATAATACTTAATGACATGTCATGTGAAATTGAGCACCACATTACTAAAATGTTAAGCAAGTAGGTAGTTAACAAAAAAATTGAAGCAACCTACATAAAATAAATTTTAGAGAGAACAGCAATTAAGTATTTTCAATTTGCAATAAAATTTAAGGAAAGTGGCACGGAAATCCATTCAATTTCATTTCCGATAAAAATTCATACTATCACTTTCTGATCCGTTCGGTTAGAGAGGCAGCATTATGAGAGACAACTTAATGCATTAGCATGAAAGCTTAGGTTTTGTTACCTAAGTAGAAAGATGCGCACCACGTTTTTCTAATTCACCTGTCCTATTTGGTTATCAAGACCCCGCAGGGTTATTTTATACTTTTTAAGGTGCATAAAAACGTTATTTTTAGATTTATTTTTTTATCTACTTTATTACGTTACTCTTTCACTTTCGGTCAGAGATAAGAAATAAAAAATTGAAGATATAAGATTTGATATATGAGTGAAGCGGTTCCGTTGAGCGGACACAATAACTTGTTTTTTTTGGCTTATTCTGTTAATATATTCTACGTTCTAGAAGTGTACAACTTACGGAAAGTAGGTGAAGCGGATGAAAGAAGTTATTTAATTTTAGTAAAAAAATGCTATTTTAAGAGGTTTTTAATAAAAAAATTAACAATATACCAAAAACTATTCAAAACATCGACTTGGAAACCTAATAAATATAAAGGGGGGATGTAAAGTTCTACCGATCTTCAAATGAGACATTCAGGATGCTCTATGGGGACAAAAAAATATAATATATATATATATATATATATATATTTTTTTTAATTTTAAAATTATTTAAACTAGAGCTCGTATTTCATTAAAAAATGGTTTTACGAAAAAAATAATTCCAGATTTAAAATTAGAAAAATAAATCCTGTTGAATTGATATGTAATATTACTTTTTGTAATTTCGTCTCACATACGTCCACAAGGTGGTCACCGAGTGCCACTGAGTGGCCGCCTTTTGACTAAAACCAACGTATGACATGCGACACATCGTTTAATACTAAATAATTCTAAAGACATCGCTAAATTGAGAATAAAATTCTAACCCAAAGTGGTCACATGCCATATATTGGTTTAGGTCACAGCCGGCCACTCAGTAGCCACTTAGTGGACGCATATGTGGCCAGATACCAAAAAATCATGTTACATATCAATTCAACAAGATTTATCCTCCTGATATCAAATTTATATTTATTTATTTCTTAAGGCCATTTTTTAATAAAATACGAGTTATATTTTAAATAATTTTAAAATTTAAAAGAAATGGTTATCATTTATTGTTCTCATAGAGCATCCTTAATGTCTCATTTAAAACTTAGTAGAACATTACATTACACCCTGTATTTCTCGCAGATATTAGTTACAAATTAAATGCCCAAATGACTGGTTGTAAAGAACTTTGAATTTTCAGTACTTGAAGGGCTTTATTTTTGTATAATTAAAAAATGGTCAAAACTCATAATTTCATTTTAAACCTTTAAAGTAGTACTAAATAACACATTACATTTGATAATGATCATTTTTATATTTTATAGGCCACGGAGGGGGGAGAATATTAAATTTTACAATATATAAATCAAAGTTAAATACTGTTCGTTGGTAAGCGCATCACTCGAAAACGGCTAGACCGTTTTGGCTAATTTGTTTTTTGTTCCAAGTAATCCGAATAAGGTTCTTACAGAAAAGTTGTCTGAATGTATAAGAACTGAACGGATATTTGTATGAACTCGCGACCATATGCTTAATTATCTCAGAATTAAGCTATTGTAATTGTATTTCTTAAGCCTATACAAACTTATCACTATGCTATCTCTCCACCAACCGCTCCTTTTCATAATAGGTGTACAGGTATATTATGTTGTTGAAGCGTTATTCAGTATGGTATAAATGATTTTCACGGTTAAGAAAATGTTTATGGTTCTTATTTAGGTTCTTTTTTTCTTTAAAATCGGGTTAAGGTTACTTATATTTTTAACTGAACTTTATTAATCAAAGGTATATTACAATAGATGTGATCGATGATAAAACTATGCCGGAATTATTAATAAAATTGGCCATGGTAGAAAAGGAGTCTGACGAATGGACGGTAATACTAAAATAATAAATATATCTACTGATATATTTCATTTATAAATGCATAAAAATACTATTTTTATTGTGTAAAAAGATTAATAAGTATTTTTTGTATTATGCATCCCTTCAATATCAGGAAAAAGGTTTCACTACTTATGAAGTAAGACTTTTTGTGAGAATGTTTACCATACAAGACAAAAAGGGTGTACACGACGGGCTTCTTACCTATGCCGAATTAGAGAACCTAATTGACGATGGTTTAAGCCTAAAAAGTGACGTTAAGGATAAAATCAAGAAAAAATTCAATAGTAAAGATTTATAAAATATGGGCTTAAAGTTTAATAACATAAGAAATTGTTACTTTTTTTAGATGATGATTTAATTAACGCACAACAATTCTTGGCGGCCATATTGGAATATAAACCAGAAGTAAGTAATTGATTAGCCGTTAAACCAAATCGTACTCTCCCGTTTATGTATGTGTAAAATGCTAAATGTATAAAGATACTATAAATTTTGTTTAGGGCAAAGGTTTAGACAAGACACAGATACAAAGATGCGGCATTTTGTATAAATATGATTATGGTTATCTTCATACTGAAAGGCTAAAAGACTTACTTCAAGCGTTACATATTGTTTCCAATGACTATAATACGCTATTAGAGTTCGAGCATTTCCGTTAGTGAACATTTTTATTGTTACAAAATAATTAATTATAATTCAATTTTTATAAAATAAAATAAAAGAAAATGTTTAAAAATCATTTTTTAGAAACTGCCGCTAATGAGTTAAAAGAGCTCTTAGTCATTTGGTCAGAATATAATAAGGACGTCGAAGAAAATGTAATGGTTTAAAATTTTTAGATGTTTATGTTTTTTTAAATAATATTTACATTTATAATTCCGAGAAATAATAATTTATAATGATGATTTCGCAGTCGCCGTGTTTTACTAGTAAAGAAGTTCGGGAATACATTTCCGAATTTTCTTTGTACGATAGAAACATGAATGGTGTGCTCAAATTTGAGGAATTCAAACCAATCGCCAACCTTTACTTCTCACCATATAAACCAATATCCATTTTGAAGCTATATTCCGATTTCTACTGTAATTATTAAAAAATGTATATATTTTTTCTAAGAAGTAAACTACTAAAAAAACGCAATAAATAAGTATCAACTGTTCGCAAAGACTCCAAAAACGTGGGAACGGAAGAAATATATTTGACTGGACCCATGTTCTATTTAAAAATATTAAAATGTATATATTTTGTTTTAGTCACGCCCGAAAGTCGGGAATTTGAACCGGCCAATAAACCTCACGACAAAGAAGCTGATAGGAAAGACAAGTTGAATAGTATGAATCATTTATATTGATATAAATTATAAATTTTGTACAATAATTTTTAGAGGTAACATTCCTAATCTGGTACAAAAAAAAACTGTTTCTAGTTAAATGTTCAATGAGCGCTGCTATGTACTTGAACATGAAATATTATTTACGTTTTGGACGAAAAAAAAGAAATAATTTTGAAGAAGTGGCAACGAATGAAAATGTGGCAATACAAGAAACATATGACAGGGCATGGCAAAATATTGCAACGGAAGAAACAAATGAAAATGTGTCAATGGAAGACACAAATGTCAGGCGCAATCATGGAAATGGTCTTCGGTTATTTAGGTGTTTTGGAAGTCGTTGAAGAAGTATTGCGAAATCACTGAAATACTAAAGACAAAAAAATTATTATTAATTTTCAATTTTATTTAACGGTTTATTACTGTTCCACTTAAATTTTTTGTCATAAAATTGTTGCTTTTCTCGTATTTTAAATAAAGAAAACCATAAAAATGTATTCAATTGACTTAAGTATAATTTTGCCGATTTCTTGTGAAATTAATTAAATTTTAAAAAGCACGAGGGGAAACACATTTTTATATCAAGTATTCTTTTTTTTCTTTAACATACCTAGTTATAGTATTATAATATGTTGCTGGTGTTTTGTAGAATAGATTAATATTTTTTCGCGGTAAAAGCGTTATTTGTTTTTACTATGTTTGTTTATATTTTTAAGTACAATAATTATATTAGTAAAATTTAGATTACAGTATTTTTGTTTATGCGATAATTGTACAAGCTAAAAAGTATCAGATAAAATTGTTATCATATTTAATGATCTAAAATGTATACATCAGGTGGTCGGACTATATTCAACAGCCATTTTGTATAAATGTTATACAATAATTTAAAGGCAACATGCCTAATTTGGTATATTACAAAAAAAAAACTGTTTCTTAATAAATATTCAATAACAGCCGCTATGTTCTTGTACATGAAATATTATTTATATTATGAACAGAACTATAATAAATAATCTTTAAGGTTCATAGACCTCCAACCTGGCGGACTAGACTTATCCAATTAATTAAAGTAAGTTTAGGTCTCGGGGACCAGGATCGTTTTACCAACAACACTAAATAGCTCAACCTGTACCTTTGATTTGCTAAAACTTAAAAATGATATCTCAGCATAAATCCTATGATGATTGTTATTTAAATGGTATGAAATATTATGGAGACTAGAGTTATATGTTTATGTATTAATGTTAACTAAGTACATTTATAAACTGTCACACTTACCTGCATCCCACAATTTAGGTCCACTTATTTGCTTATTCTATTAGTAGTTTTATAACCATTACCTACAAAATTCTATTGGATTTATGTACTTGTGCTCGATTATATGACCATGCCGCTCACTGACGGCACTTGGAATTTGATTCAGTGAAACGGAAAAGCCCAAATAGTATACAAGTACAAAGACTAAAACAAGTAGTGTCTACCGAACCGATTTAAAATTAAAAATCGGCCTTAAGCCCACATAGAAAAATATTGAGCTAAACGGTCTGTTATTTTTAAATTTTATAGTAGCCTTTAATTTATCCAAATCTAGTATAAGGTAATGTGTGAGTTCATGCCAATTGCGATTTTGAATTACATAAAATTGTATGGAAAAAATTATCGATTTTTTATAAACATTACCAATACACGCACTTGTAGTCGTTATATTTGTTTATTTCCGAAACTGCTTATTAATTACACAGCACCGTATGGGTTTGGCACGCAATTAAGTAAATAAATCCAAAAATTGCACACACGTGTGTTCAGTAGCAAAAATTGTTTCTTTGACACGTAAGTGAATTTCAGTTACCTTAATATTATACTAATATAAAACGGGATGTATTTCAATTATTATCTCCTCTTTTGCGTGTTAAACTTCTTTACAGCAGTACGGGTAAGTTAAAATACAGATAATTATATTAACAGTAAAAAAAAAGGATTTATTATAACAGCTGTAAGTAATAAAATCACTTTTAAATAAACGCTTCGATGCGAATTTGTGGATAGTAGGTTAAGTTAGGTTAAAATAAAACACACCGTTGTAAATACAATACCTTCTCAGCTCCGAATCGAAGCTAATGCTTTATAGGCAATATAGTAAGTTCAATGTTAATTTTACAAAAACTGAACATTGATGATGTTTTGCAGAGCATTGGACTAAGCAAACACCAAATCAACTCATGCGTTGAATTGTTCGAGAAGTACAAAGGAAGTAATAATGAAATTCCCAGGATGAGAGCCATAAAATATTTGCTGGATTTGGGCTATAGAAAATTGAGCGAAATTTTTCCGTCCAAAGAAAGTAATGTCTTAACTTAACATACATTAAATAGCTAAGGTTATTTTATTCACACACAAATGAGGGTATATTAATTTCAAAATTAATAGTTATACGATAACAATTATGCAGTTCAAGACATTTTATCTTTACTTTGATCATTTTCAGATCTATCTGTGGCATCATTATTTAGTAGCTACACTTTCATGACTATACCGAAAAGTCAGCTAACTAATGACAACACAAAAAAATACAAAAATTATCTAACTAGACACTAGAAGTTCAATTCTTTAAAGTTAACACATGAAAAAAATAATTATGAATGCGTGTAATTTATATTTTTTTTTCTTAATTTCTCAATTTTTATCACTTTATCCTTACTTTTTCCATTACACCATGTAAAACTAATGAATTTCAATTCTAAAATGTTTATCAAAAATTACTCATGACCAAAATTTAAATAATAATTTTTGATAAATGTTTTTTTACCATAACGCTTCATTCATTTCTAAGAAAAGTACATAATATACTTACAATTAGACCTTATTAACCACAGAAGTGATTAAATTAAATTAATAAACATTGTTTTTCTAAATAATATTAATCAATAGCCTTCCAAGTCTTGTTAAAATCTTATTCGTTTTGTGATTTAATTTGATTTAAACTTGTAACAACTGGTCACAAGTATATTTTGATTGGTGTAGATGTACTCAATGATAGAACTGTGTCGGAGTTTTTGGTATTTTTGGCAGATCAAGATAAGACATCTGACCACTGGGAGGTAATACCAAAATAAAAAATATAAAATTAAATTAACAAATTATAATTTTTTTTTTTTTTAATGCATAAATATTATTTTTGTTTGCACGTGTGATTACTATAAGGAGAAAGGTTTGACTACTTACGAAGTAAAACTTTTCGTGAGAATGTTCGACGCTCATGACAAAAAAAGTGTACACGACGGGCTTCTTACCAACGATGAGTTAGTGAACTTATTCGACAAGGATTTAAACTTAGACCGTGACGCTAAGGAGCAAATAAAGAACGAATTCATTAGTAAAAAACAAAAGTTGCGTTTTAATTTTGATAACATTAATAATTGTGATTTATTTTTAGACGACGATTCAATTAACGTACCAAAGTTCTTGGCGGCAATAGTGAAACATAAACCAGAAGTAAGAAAACGGTTTACCGTAAAACCAAATTGTATTCGTCTGTTTGCGCACGCTTAATATGCTGCTGTATTATAAACATGGTAATATACTTATACACCTGTATTTTTTTAGGGAAGAGGCCTAGACAAGACACAGATAGAAAAATGCTTCGCTCTGTATAGATCTCATTTGAGCCACCTTATTACTCGAGCACAAAACGAGTTACTTCAGACGTTACATATCGTTTCCGATGAGTATAAAAACCTTTTGGAATTCGAGCACGTCCGTAAGCTATAATAATATAATGTTATCTAATTAATTTAGCATAATTAAAATTTAACAAAAAAAGAATCTGCTCCGCAGAAAAACATTGACTCATGGATATATAATCACTTATCACTTCTCTCTTATCTCTAATCTCTTATCATTGATCTCTTAACATTTTTCTATTATCACTTATGTGAAAGTGAAAACAAAAATAGTGACATAAAATTCTTGTATCCAGCCAAATAATATATCCATTTTAAGAAAAAGAACAAAGTTTAATAATCTGTTTACAGGGTCCGCTGCAAAGGAGTTACAAGAGTTCTTAGTCTTTTGGGCGGAGTACAATAAGGGTGTCGATGATAATGTAATGTTACTAAGTATAATATATGTTAATTACGCTTGTATGCAGCATCGCATTGCTCTTACTTTTGATTAGGTCGGTTGGCTGTTTATTAACTAAAATGATGATTTTTTTAGGCGCCATTATTGACTAGTAGACAAGTAAGGGAATATATTTGGAAGTTCACTTTGCACGACCAAGACAAGGACGGTGTGCTAAACTTTTCGGAATTTAATCAGCTCGCTAGTACTTACTTTCCCGGAGAAGACGCTGAACTCATTTTGGAGACAAGCTATGATCCCGATAGTAATTTTCCGAATTAGCTAATAATTGGTAACGTACGGCACATTACAAAACAAAATTTTATTTTATTTCTAGATGATTATTCAATGAGCGCTGCAATGTTCTTGTACATGCAACTCACGATACGTTCTGGACATAGGAGAATGTGACACAGTCGAAATTTACTTCTTGGTATTTTATTGTTAAAATATTATTTCAATTATTTCAATAATTTACAATATTTTATTTAATGTCATATTAATACTCTCAGTTTAAATTATATTATGTTTTAAAATATTGTCTGGTGTCGTATATTCTAAATAAATAATGAAATTTATGTTTTCTTTTTTAATTTGTTTAATATTTAATGTTTTTGATGCCTGATAGACTAATGATGCTCATTCTAATATGGATGTGTCATAAAATTAACTAATAGCTAATTGACAAATAGTAGGGGCATACCAGACAGCTAGTAAAAGTTGAAAATTTAACATTCGTGTAATTCCCCCCCTTCATGTACAAACTAGATAAGATTTGTAATGTATAGAGTTACTACTCGATGGAATTGGTCCAGTATTGAAAGAGTTAAATTCTTTACAAACACAAAAAAAGCACACATCATAATAAAACCAATAGCCTCTCTAGGCTGAGGATCGAAGCGAAAATAAGTAAACTATTTCAGCGAGTATAAATTACAAACTATTACTTAATTTAATTATAATTCGTGATTACCAAGAAATATATTATTTAAGTAAAGGTACAAAATAATGTACAATTAAAAAAATAATGTTTTTAGTTATTATTTTGTTGTGACAAGGGTTTTTTTTTTGAAGATAATCACTAACAATTTAAGTAGTGGTAGTAAAAATGTTTTTGAGCTTTTTTTAAACTCATGGAGTATATTTCACGTCTCTTTTGGCGACGTAACGCTATAGAGTTTTTAGTTTTTATAAAAAGTTTTATAATGGCTACCAACTAGAATAAGTGTTGTTCGCATCAAAAGAAAAGCGGCCTATTTGTTGTTGTTGCAATGTTTTTACTACATTCTTATTTTTTTTACTACTATCGACCTATTAAATTATACACACGACGACTTAGGTGTTTACTTCTCTGTGAACAGTTCGGTGAAAACAAGTTGTTTACTTTTTTAACGCATACTTAACAAGTAGGTACAAGTATGTCAAATCGTAAAATTACAGTGTGTGTATGTTATTTTATTTTTTTCGCAATGATGTATTACAAACGGTTAATTGTGGTCGCTTATGCGTTTTACATATTTGGCTCAAAATCTTTTGTGGCCCATAGATTAAAAGACAACAAATGGACGGAATTGATTGAAGTCTTAAATTATATTCGCACTCGAGAAGGTTGGACCGCATTGGGAAACCTGAAGATTTGCCACTATCAATTCGGCATGTCAGGTGTTGAGATAATGACAAAAGATGAGATCACTAAAGAAAACTACATCGAAAAAGTACAACTACTAACGTTGTCATTGGGCTGCAGGTATAGTCAACGATTAAACGAATTTTGGGTTATCTTAAAAGGTTTATGGAAAAGTTGTAGCAACTATAATTGCAACAACAAGTTGGATTTCGTTTATTGTGTGATGATGCTCTACGATTCGATCAAAGCTTCAAAACCTATGATAGACCGTATTGTAAACGGTTTGGAAATGTTGGGAAAGTTTCCAAAGTCCGTTGCGTTTTACTACGGCAACGCGTTTTATCGCCTTGCAATTGAAATACAATTAGCCGTAGAACATTTCATTAAATCACATCCAAACGAAGTGTTCATTAAGGAAGATAATACGGTTGACGAAGAATTGTCCACGTCGATGAGTATTGAAATACTTATTTTAATAAAACAATCGGGAAGAAAAGTATATTCGCTCAAAATAATCAAGTTTTGTGTTTTCGAAGTGACCAATTTAGACAAGTTATTAAAATGTTTTATCGAATTTAACGATTTTGCACGTGTCGACGAGTCACGATATCTAAAAGATTTTCATTGGCACATCAATAACTATCTCAAGTTTTTTTATAAAACCGTAATCGATAACGATTACTACGATCTCGGGATAAATAAATTGGAACCTGCTGTTAAAAACCTGCCCATTAACAAACGGCTTCTTGGGTATGTCACTAAAGAAAAAAACAGAAACTAATGAAAAAAGAATTGATCAAGAAATGTTTCAGCTAATGGATTATTCTTAGGAAGATGTATGATATAACATCTCTCAACATTCTCTTTATGTATTTGTTTGTTTGTAAATTAATAAAAATTAGTGACATTTATACTATCGCACTTGACTAAGGACTTAATTTAGCTCTATGAGTTCACTGTTATTACTATTTATATTAGTTACTGCAGCACACTATTGTAGATAACGGTTGGCTTTAAAGTTGATAAGAAGAAGATTATGGATAAAGCTTAATATATAAAAACATATTATGTTGTGCAAAGAACGAAAATTGTGTAATAACAAAATATTATTACAAAATATTATGTTGTACAGCTAAAAATGACAATATAAATAGCTTTATGTAAAAATAAAACAGACATTATAAGATAGATCTGAATATGTTTACACAAATATTATTTTAAGTAAAAATGTTCTTTAGTGAAACAAGTGTCTGGCCAGGTTGTCAACAAAAGAGCAATACCTAGTTAAATGTGATGAAAAATTATTTTACAGAGTGTTCGAAGAGTTAGAAACAGAAGTAGCTTTTGATTTTATTTTGACTTTCGCCCGCTGCTAAATAGGTGTAACGTTACTCATACTTTACAGTTGATTTACAATTTTAAAACAAAAAAAAATTGTTTTATATCCAACTGTTCAAAAGTTAATGCTCTATTAAGGGTCATCGATACAAGCATAATAATTACTTATAGATAAACAATATATTTGATATTAGATCACTCAACCATTATTTTTCATTTTATTCAACGACAAAATATCTTAGGTTGAATTTCAACATGAAATTTGGCAATTGTTTTCTTATGCATGTAAAATTTGCTAGCGATTTACTATAGCCCAAATCCAAATGTTAAATTGATTATTGCTCTGCTATAATTCTGTGGATTTTACTTTTTGCTTTTCAAGTCATGTTGAAAAGCAAACTTTCGCTCATTCCAATAATCTAATACTTCCAAAACATCATCTAGGCAAATAATATAGGTTCTTTCAAATAAGTAATGTACTTACTAGATCCTCCCTCCCCCCCGGGAGGACACATGTTGTAACGGGTGTAGAAATGGTATGAAAAATAGCCGGCAAATCATTTTAAATTGCATATATGGTATTTATAATTTAATGTCAGATTTTTAATTGCATTATTCGTTTTTATGTTCGAAACACAAAAGATATTTCATGTACAGAAACATAGCAGCGTTGATGAATTCTTTGTTTGGGGATTGAGAATAATTTAATTTATAATATAACGAAAAATATGTATTGTTATAAGCTAGGGATAAATTATTTTCTTAAAGGCAACTGTTTGATCTTTCTCATGGAAGTACATTCTACCGACTGCTTTAAATTCCAAAAAATCCAGCACACCGTCCTTGTTCATGTCGTATTCAGAGAACTCGTAGATAAAATCTCTAACGTCTTTACTAGATATAACCTGGAAAATCATCATTATACATCAATAATAGTTGATGGGAACTATTTATGTAAATGTTATTTGAAACGGTATAAAAATCTAAATGTATTATAGCAACGTTACATTTTTATCGACTTTCTTGTTGTATTCCGACCAAAAGACTAAGAACTCTTGTAACTCCAAAGCGGCGGTCTCTAAAAAGTTATTATAATAATAATTATAATATATTAATTTCCTAGCAATATGCTTTCACACTCACGGACGAGCTTAAACTCGAATAAGTAACCATACTCATCGGAAACAATATGTAACGTTTGAAATAATTCGTTTAGCCTTTCGGTAAGAAGGTTACCTTCTGCGGATTTATACAAATCTAAGCACATTTTTAACAGTGCCTCTTCTAGACCTTTACCTTAGTGGGTAATATAATATATATATTTTATATTTTCACACAGCAATTCAATCATACTTAACCAATCTTTGACTTACTTTTGGTTTATATTTCAACATTGCCGCCAAGAACTTCGGCGCGTTAATCGATTCATCAGCTAAAAATAAATTTATAGAATCATTTTTTATGTTATTAAACTTAGGCAATAAATGTTTACAACCGAATTCATTTTTTATTGCCTCTCGGACATCTGCTTCTAGATTTAACTCGTCTTCAAGTAGGATCACTAATTCAGCATGGTTAATAAGCCCGTCGTGTACGCCTATTTCACTTCGTAAGTAGTCATACCATTTAACTAATATTAATTACCAGCACAGCAAAAATAATATTATATATTATGCTCTGTTAAAAATATTTTAAGTAGTAGTACCTGCCAGTTGTCGGTATCCTTATCTAGATCGGCTAATATTATCAAAAACTCCGGTACAGTTTTTTCATCGAACATACCTACACAAACCAAATATTATTGTGGATTATAGTCGACAGGCGTAGTTAGTAGTTAAAAAAAAAAAAAATGTAGCTTTGAATGTGAAAATGTGACGCATATCGTGGAGGAATGTCCCTTTGGAATCATTCAAAAGGGGAAAGCCACCACTGGACCTTTAACTTCATAAAATATAAAGAAAAAAGGGAAATCGCTGCTCCTATTTATTCATTTATAAATACTTGCTACCAATGTTATTATTATTATAATTATTATTATTCTATATTGCCTGTTTTATTTTATGTATAATTTATTGTGTGACAATGTACCGGGTAATCCAAATTTTGTGTTGAAGTGATTTTTCCAAATTAAACAAATATGCAAACTAAAAAAAAAATTTAAGGAAATCCTTAATACATAGGTTGCTTCTTTTTGACTTCTTAAACTCACCCCATAACGATAGCTTTTAAAATCATATTATTAAATTAAATATAAATTACAATTTTTTGATTATTAAATATGATAAGGATTTTATCAAAAACATTTAGGATAAGAAAATTATCTCATAAAAACGTACTGTAAGATACAAGCTGAAAACCCCTGTCTGTCATAATGTATGTAAAATTTGGTATCAATTTACCGTCATTCAAATCCAAATGTAGTTTTAATTTAATTGCTTGGTTATAGCTCTGGCAAGTTCATTTTTACTTCCCCCATACCTCTCAAACAGTTGAAGAATCGTCTTGAATTGACTTTCGGTTATTCCAGTGCACTGCAACACAGCAAATGTACTATTTTTGGTCATTTTAAATAACGAATGTACTCATTTTATTGCTAAGTTTTTTTTTTTAACATTATTATTATTTGTGTTTTACTTACCCACGATATCGTATGAAAGTATAACGCGAACAAAAGCAGAGATAACTATCAGTTAGTTTGTTAAACATAATGATTTATTATATTATATTTTTAGTGCTTTAACGCAAACTCACTGTGTAAAATAAAATGCCTTTGCAACTGAAGACAACATACAATATGCTACTAAATAAATGAGTTGTGTTTTTATAGATGCCTTCGTATACGCCTGGTAAACACCGCACGTATATTACATAAAACTACTCGGTTGATTTTAAGTTGCTGTACATGTAGACGGCTAAGTTTGATTAAATTATTTTTTTTATTTCTTAATATTTGTAAATAACATTCTTATGTTACTTACAAATTTTACTTTTGGTATAAAAGTATACTCATTAGTAGCACCTCTGAATTTGGTATTAGTTTTATAATGAGTTGTTTATTGGTTTAATTCGTCTCTTGGCCATTTTCTTTTCAGTCTTCTTGTAGGATTTCCTGAAATCGTCAAGGGGATTGCACGCGGTCTTTTTTTAAGGAGTTTTGTATAGGCAATATTTAAGGAAAAATATGTTTTAATAAATTTCCACCATGTCAATTAATTTAACGGTTTTTTTTCGTAAATGCATTCGAGGTATTATTTTTAATTTAATTAATTTTTTTCTATAAGTAAAAGCCACTTTGGTATTTTATATATATCTTTAACAATTTTACTTACCTATATTTATTACTATATTTATATGTATATTTTTGTATACTGGGTGGTGTAAACATAAAAAACAACGTACTAGGTAATACAAACAACAAATATAATAAAAAACAAACGTTTTAAAGTCTCTATAGTAGATAACATTCGAACAAATTAGCCAATTTCACATTACATAAAAAGATAACAAAATATTGTGTTTCAGTAAGGTTTAACCAGATTTTAAATAATTTTAAATATTCAACAATTATACTTCATACTTCTTAGACCATACATAAATTAAAATTGTAAATTGTCACATTTTCTTTCGAACTTGCATTTATTTCAATGGCTTCAATTGACCCTCTTTATTTTCATATTTTAACGATATTTTGTTAATTAAACAATATTTCATGTACAAGAACATGACAGTGTTCATTAAACCATTCGAATGTTTCGATTCTAGAGAACAACTTAACTTATGATACCAGCTATCATCATTGTTAGTGTTTATAATGTCGGAATTAACAATATTGTTAAAGACATCTCTCAGAGATTGCCCTTCGAAGTACGTTTCAGCGGCTGGTTTAAATTCATGAAGATCGAGGAAACCGTCTTTGTTTCCGTCGTACTCAGTGAACTCATAAATAAAATCTCTAACATCTTTACTAGTGAGAAACGGCGACTGAAAAATCATTATTTTACATTATTATTGGTCGGGACTAATCATAAAAATGTTATTTAAAACAGCATAAACATTAGAAAAATAAGCAGCATTACATCTCCGCTGACTTCCTTGTTGTATTCCGACCAGAACACTAAGAACTCTTGTAACTCCAAAGCGGCGGGCTCTAAAAACGATTATCAAAGGTTATTAGGTATGATTTTCTTTGTATATATTTATAATTAAATTAGATATCATTATAATTTTATGCTTACTGACAAACGTCAATAGATTAACATCTTTTTTGGAAACCATGTGTAACGTTCGAATTAAGCGTCTTAGTCTGTTGGTAGGAAGACGACGGGAATGTGGTTTATACCAATCCGAACATGTTTTCATCTGTGTCTTGTCTAAACCTCTGCCCTAAACGTTACAAATTAATCAAATATAATAAAGGCGAGTACGATTTGGCTTTGCGGCGAACCGTTTTCTTACATCCGGTTTATGTTTCAATAGTGTCGCTAAGAACTTTGGTGCGTTAATTTTATCGTCATCTAAAAATATAAGTTATCAATTTGTTTAAGGTTACAAAACTTAAGGCACATATTCAATGTGTTTTTACCATTGAATTCGTTTTTTATTTTATCGCGGACGTCAGGTTCTAGGCGTAAATCGGCGTCAATTAGGTTTACTAATTCATCATAGGTAAGGAGCCCGTCGTGTACACCTTTTTTGTCTATTTTTATGAACATGTTTACGAACATTTTTACTTCGTAAGTAGTCAAACTTTTGTCCTAATAGTAATGACACACGCACAAAAAAAAATAATATTATTTAGCTAGTTAAAATATTAACAGTATATAGTTTAGTTTTAACATTATTTCGGTTAACATTACCTCCCAGGCATCGCAATTCTTTTCTATATCGGCCAAAAAAATTAAAAAATCTGGCATTGCTTTATGATCTATCACAGCTACACAAATCAAATAATATTTTGAGTTATAGTTATTAAAACAAATTGATAATTAAATTCAAACCTTGATAACTCCCTCTTTCATTTAAGTCCTACCAGAGCGCCTGTAGGTCCAATACTTCACAACCTACAGCTGTTTAAAACCTCACCATTCTTTTTGATACACCCGGTATTATTATTTTATACTCTTAAAAAAAAAGAGACACGAGAAAGAGATAGGGTTTGTTTGTTAATATGAACATTTTGTCTAGCGTAAAGACTTTCGTGTCAATTAATGAACGATGTCAATTAATGTTACATTCGAATAGCGAGCCGCCAATGTGATGTAATTGTAGTTAACTATTAGGCTCCAACTGATGACACAAATGAGAAAGATATAAATGTATTTTCGCCTACAAGACGTGTAGCGGACAAAAACAATTAATGCAAAGGTTTCTATTGTTTTTTTTAAATAACCCCTTAAAATTTGTTTTACAATTTTAATTATACAGTTTTTATATCAATACCTACACAAATGGAGGATATCACATGAAATCTTTTAGCTACAGTGATTGTCCCATAGAAACAAATACTAGATATAATATTATGAAATTGAGTAACCCTGTTTGTAAGTATAGTTAATGCAAGTTAGAACATTACTTTTTTTGGACGGAAATATTGTATGCAACTTTTTATAGCCTGTATTCAGCACATATTGCATGGCTAAAGGTTTGGAGCTTTCATTTTTACTTTCTTCATATTTTTCAAAAAAACCAACAATTGTAGTCAAATCGTCCTCTCCCAGTCCGATGCACTGCAAACGACCTTTGAAATAACTAATGCACTTACCGTATTGGGTATAGCTGTTTTTTTAAAATTGTTAATGTTATTATCCGTGTTCGGTGTTTGATTTTACTTACCCGTGTTGCCGTAAAAAAGTACAACACCCAGAAGAGAAGAGAAATTTTAAAATACATAATATTTTATTAAATTTTAGTACCTAACAGAAATTCAATTACGACTCAAAAACACAATTTTTGGTACGTAGGACAATAATAGAGGCGATCAAATATGCAATTATTTTTGGTATTTACTCAAGTACGTAGCAAACCCATGTGAGCCTATGTAGTTAATATGCACATTTTCGGAAATAAACAAAGATAACGACAACGAAGTACCTAATTAACCGAAAACTAGCTAATATTATGTAGAATAAAAAACCTTTGGCACTGAAGACGACGAAAACGATCTATTAGGTTGTTGTTTTTGTAGGTAACTCAAGTGTGTGACAAAAACATACGTGACTATGTATTTAATAATACAAATACCATAAAAGCCAACACACACACATCCAACACAAAATCCGATATGCACTAGGTAATGGAAATCAACAAACTGAATAGTTTTATGAAAAAAAAAAGGTGTAGATACAGAATGGCTAGAATAACGTAATATGAAGAATATTCTAACAAGATACATACAACAACATACAATTTGATATCCAATAACGACCAACGTTAGCCACATTTTGTGCATAAATCGAACATTTAAAAACATAACGTTTAACACTTTGGTTTATACTCAACGGTTTAAAGGTTTAAGCAATTTAAAATTATAATTCAGTACCTGTTAATAATAATCGGTATAGTTAATGTAATAAATTTTAATAAATTAAAATAGCCAATGTAAATTAAAAGAGAAGAACATTTTGTTAACTAGGTATATATAATTTATTTCGGTATATATATATATATACAAACTGTATTGTAAAAAATAGTTTAATAGATATATTATAACTTGGAACACCGTACAAGCCAAACGTTTATAATATTATAATAATTAAAAATGAGGTGTAATGATAAAAGTTAAAGAAAATAGTAAATAAATATATATATTGTATTAATATGTTTGTGTTGAAGTGCTATGTGGTAGTATTGCTAGATTCTTTTCGTCACCAAAATTTCAGTGGCCTTACCAGCTTTCTTATCATTGAAAATCGTTTGTTACGATCCTTATTTTCAAAACGTAAATAATAAATCATCTTCAAGTACATAGCAGCACTCATTGAACAATTGTCTAGAAACAGTTGTTTTAGTTTTATAATACCAAATTAATCATGCTACCTTTGAATTATTGTATAACATATTTTATAATTTAACATAAATGATGCTTACCGCCGGTATAAGAATTTTTCTTCAATAGGGCTGGATTTTGCCCGTAGGGGTAAAGTTGAGCGACGAGTTCAGATTGAAAATTTTCGAAAGTATCTAAAATAAAATAAATATATTGAAAATAATTAACATGTCAAATGTGAACCACTCTATATCTCCTAGGGGGGTTTAATAAGAAATTTTATTTTTTTTATTCATATTGTTTTTATTCAATGTGATCTCGAACTTTCACAATTTGTTTTAGTTTTAAATGGTGACGTATACATTTTATTAACTTTTTAAATTAAGAATATTATACTAATAATGTAGACTACTAATGGGTCGTTAACCAGTTTTGAACAACTATTCTTTAACTTAAATGAGTTATAAAAAAAAAAAATTAAATTTCTTATTCAACGCTATAAGATATTGAGTGGTTCACGACAAAATGATCACTCTAAATATAAAATGTATAACTATTACAGTCGGAATCGGAAAATTTCTTCAAATAGGCTTTTGCTTTATCCTCGGTGAAGTAAAGTCTAGCGACCGGTAAGAATTCCGTCAAATTGATCACACCATCATGGTTTCTGTCGTACATCTCGAAGTTGGTAATATGTTCCCTAACTTCTTCACTAGTGAACAAAAACAGTGACTGCAATATCATCATTAAGTATACATTGATTGATCGGAATGAATTATGTAAATTATAAACAGCATAAAAATCTCTAATAGTTTAAAAACATTACCCTTTCGTCGACCTCCTTATTGTATTCCGACCAAAAGACAAGTAACTCTTGTAACTCATTAGCAGCGGGCACTACAAACAGATTATTAAATATATTTTTTAAAATTTTTTTAACAATAAATTTATTTCACAGTAGCATAATTTTACACTCACGGAAGTGCTCGAACTCTAATAGCCAAACATAATCATTGGAAACGATATGCAAAGTTTGAAGTAAGTCTTTTATGCTTGCAGTAGGAAGGTGACCGTAACACGGTTTATACAAAGCCGAGCATTTTTCTATCTGTGCCTTGTCAAGACCTCTGCCCTAAATGGAAAATTGTATATTTTATATGTTCACACAGCAATCGTTATCTTACTTTTGGCTTATGTTTCAAAATTGCCGCCAAGAACTTTGGTGCGTTAATTGATTCGTCATCTAAAAGTAATCATTTTTACAGTGTGTTTTAAACTTAAGCACATATCCTATAAATGTTTACTGTTGAGTTCATTCTTTATTTTCTCCTCGAGGTCAGGATCTAGGTTTAAGTCGACGTCAAGTAAGTTCACTAATTCGGCATAAGTAATAAGCCCGTCGTGTGCACCCTTTTGATCATGTATGTCAAACATTCTCACGAAAAGTCTTACTTCGAATGTAGCCAAACTTATTTCCTAATATTAATTACACAAACAAAAAAATATATATATTTATTAAACTGTATTAAAAAAAAAAAAACAATTAAGCAGATGATTTTATTACATCCCAGTAGTCCAGTTCCTTTTCTATATGAGCCATCGATATCAAATACTCTGGCACAGTTTTTTCATCGATCACAACTACACAAACCAAATATTGTTTGTAGTTATATAGTTATTAAAACAAATTGACAAATAGTCTTTAACAAGGTTGGGAAAATTAAGGATTATTATTTTATAACAAATTGATCAATAAAAAAACCGAATATGCATTAATCTTAGTATTGATAGACAATATTAATATGTATAAATATGTTACACCGTTAACAATGTTAAATAAATAACTGATACGGTTTTGGGTGATGAATCTAATGTTAGTGCACAAACAATATCGATAAAATATATTAACCAGTGCGTTCTAATAATTGTTTTTTTATTAATTATATCTAGCCACCGAATTTAGTCTATTAACTTAAGCCCAACAATACTATCTATTATATAATTTTGTAACCTGTAATACTGTAACCTTTAATGTACATAACCCTGTTCATCGTAATGTAAGTAAAATTTGTTATATATTTACTATGTTTCTTGTCTAACGTATATTCGACCCTTATAACTTTGGGAATTTCTTGTTTCATTTCTCTGAACTCCTCAAACATTGTAATTACTGCGTTGATTTGGCTTTTATTTATTCCAAGGCTCTGCAAAACACCGTATATACACACTATTTAATATCACTAATCGGATGTCCCTATCCAGGATGCAGCAATGTTGTATACAATTTCATGGAAATTAAAAATGCCACGTTACTCTTCCATGATAAATAGTAAATCGTTAGGCTAGTTGATAATACCACAGTTGTAAAAGTATTTTATATATAATGGAAAAACAACAATTACTCATAATATGGAGACCACGTACTAGTGTACATTTTTATAAAAAGCCGACTATCAATATATAGTTACACATATACGGAGATGGGCAGTATCTAAAGTACAAGTATTAAAAATACTTTTTGAATTTTGCTTTTTTGCTATTTATACAAAATACATTGCATATTGTTCGCTTCTGCTGAAATATTTTTTTTTTCATTTGCTAGTTTTGTACAATCCCCTATCAGATGTAAATTATCTATGACGTATTTGAACTACTAATGTTCCTAAAAGGTAACCATAAGTTTATTACTCAAAATGTAGAAAATAAATCAGAAAGTGAAATATTACTTAATGATAAGGAGTCTAAACTGTGACTTTTTTATATGTATACAGGGTGTTCCACAAAGATATGACAAATTTAATTCTTTTTGTTCTAGTGAATATTTTTAAGATTTTTTTACTCATTTTTGCTATAAACACCGCGATTTTCATTTCTATTAACTGTTTTACTTTTTTGAATTATATATTTTTTTTATTCAAGATATCTATTTTATTAAGAATAATATGCTGAAAATTTTGAATGGTTGATAACCAGTTTTGGAGAATAACTTTTAAAATTATTTGAGTTTAAAATTTAGGATAGGTGCAGAAGTGGGGTAGAGTAATGCACGCAGATAATGTTAATACATAATAGATACATACAGATTATATAAATCTCAAATTAAGTAATAGCAATGATGATTTTTTGATTTTTGATTAATGATTACATTAAACATTAATAATTCAATGCTTTGTAAAGTTAAAGTTACTTTTGTTAATACAATAGAATACCAATAGGTGGTAACACGGTGCAAATATGCGAAGTATTACTTCTACATGTAATGTACGTTTGCCAAGTACACAAATGTTATATATCAAAACAAAATATTATTAATCATTACAGACGTTGTGTTTAATATCTTGAAAAAATATACAAGTATTTAGTATTTAGTCGAAAAGATACTGTATTTTGCCCATCCCTGGACTTATGTATATATATTTTTTTTATTAATTCTTATTATTATTATTTGTGTTTTACTTACCCACGCTGCCATGAAAAAATATAACGCGTAAAAAATAATAGACACTTGAAAATACATGATGGTTTTTTTTTATTTAAGCACTTTAAGCAAATTGTGCAAAAAAAAATCGTTGTTAACTACATCTAAAGACAATAAACGCATTTAAATAAATGTGTTATTGTTCTTTTTAACATACTAAAGGTGATTGTGATTTTATGTAATTAGCAAAAACATGGCGTGGCTGTTTATGTAGTAATACAAATAAATATAGTTTACCACAAGTTTTGTTAAGATTTCAAAACAAGTCTGTAACAAAATCATATATGTACCTATACCTATTAGATACCATTTGAAGCAAACAAATACACCATACATATCGAATAGTTTTATCAGAAATATAAAAGGTGTTCCTATAGATTGACTGAACAAATAACAATCCAACACGAACTAAGGTTATCTAAAAACCAAAACCTAGTTACTCATAAATCAAGTACTTGAACAAGCCAAATGTTTATACCTAATAATATAATAACTGAAACCGAGGAGTAATAATAAAAACTTAAAGAAAATTGTGAATTAATAATATTATAATTATATTTTTATGTTGAAGTGCAATGTGATAATACTAATTCATTGTAATAGTATTCTAGTATTGAATAAATACCGAACAAAAATAATATATGTTAATTTTTTTTACGTATTTAAAAAAAAAAATATATAGGTAGATCAATTTATTAAAACTTATTATTTCGTTATTACCTCTCAGTCATCAGATTCTTTTTACAGATTGGCCAAATACATCGGTAATTCTGACACAGTTTTATCATCGGTCACATCTACACAAACCAAATAGTACTAACAGTTAAAATTTTAGTACTAATAGTTTATTACAAGACTGAGAAAGTTAAGAGCTACGATTTAATAAAATGTATTTTGTGGCCTTGTAATAAATCTTTGATTAATAAATTTCAGTTAAAAGTCAATTAAAATCTAACTTTTTAATGAAGCAGACTTTAGTAAAAGCCATAAACATTTTCTTAATAATGAAAATCATTAATCATAAACATCTTTATACTGCCTTATTTGTGTACACACTTAATACTGCGATTATATGTAATTCTCCAGTGCTCAACATAGAACAAAAAAAGTTGGGAGACGTTTTTATTTTAAAAGAAAAAACGTACCCGACGTTTTTTTTACCTATAAGAAAACATCACTCATAAAAATTAAGCTATAAATTGTTAAACAAATAATTTGGAAATCAACCCCTTATGCCCCACCCCTACCAATTTGAGAGCTGTGTATAGATGTACTGAGTTATTCAAATGTTATATTAAAGTTATTTTTCCAATGAAATAATTATGTTAGCTAAAAAAGCTTACTTCCTAAAGTAACCTCTTAATATTAACTTTTAAAGATTTCATATTAATAGTTTAAATATACATTTAAAATTTTTCATTATTAAATATGATAACGATTTTATTCGATACCTTAAACGACAATTCGATTAGGTAAAATGTCAAATAAAAAATCTTTGTCGCTGAAGACAATAAACGTGATTCAATAAATGAGTTGTTGTTTTTGTAGATGCTCAAGTTTGTGGTAAAAACATAAATACTAAATGATACAAACAAATATTGTAAAAAAAAAGTTAATAAAAAACTAATAATGCTTTCCGCTAAAAGTATTAATTTATTCTACAAAACATTGGAAACATATTATACTACAATAAGATATGTTAATGAAAGCAATGAATAATTGATATAAACCAAAATGTGTTTCTGTTCCACCTTTTTATAATTAAATTAATTTCACATGATACTGGCAAAATCATGCTTAATTTTTTTTTTTTTTGCTTTTTTTAAAATACGAAAAAAACAACAATTTTATGAAAAAAAAATTTTAATGGAACAGTAACAAAACGTTAAACAAAATTGTAAATGAATAATAATTTTATCGTCTCCACTATTTCAGTTTCCTTGCAATATTTCTTTATTACCACCCCAAAAGCTTTTGACGATCACTTAAATATTTTCTTTCTTTCTTTGTCTTTCCAGTATTTTCGAATCCATAATTATAGTCCCAGGGATTTATTTGAATCATTGCTTTGTTATTATTATTATTGCTCTGGACATCACTTTTACCTACAATTCCTCCAAAACTCTGATAAACCCTTTCATAAATACCGGAATATTTTTCTTCCAATCTTGCATATTTGTTAGTTTCTACCGTTGCCCTTCCATAATTATTGCCCTGGACTTTTGTTTCTTCCATTGCCCTTCCATTATAACTGCTCTGGACATAAGTTTTTCCTACATTTTCATTTGCCATGTCATTTGATGTTTTCGTTGTCATTTCCTTAATTCCGTCTTCTTTATTTTGTACAAAACGTAAATAGAATTTCAAGTAAAAGAACGTATCAGTGGTCATGGAAAAGTTTTCTGAAAACAGTTTTTTTTAGGTGTATATTAATTTAGGCATGAATGGTACCTTCTTATCGTACAACATTTCTAAAGTAAAAAAATATGATACAATATATTCGTACCATCGTGATTAAAATGCGCCCCATTACCGGTTGGTTCTGTTTGTGCGAGGTGGTAGAGTTTGGCGACCGATTTAAGTTCCGGAGTACCAGTGTTATCTAAAATCAAAAAAATTTCTTAAAAATAGTAAAAATCAAAAATATTTATTTCAGTATTTTTGTTTAGAAAACGGTCACAAAAATATTTTATTATACAAAAAATGTAATTGAGAAATAATAACAAAACATGAATTAAAAATGTATATTAGTAATAGTAATGTATTATATATATACATATATAAAATCATGTATTATACATTATAGGCCTGTAAATAAAGATAACATTTTGGCAAATAGAGCAAAAAATTCCAAACCAAATTTTTTTGTTAATATCTTATTGATATATGTACTTTAGTATACTTAATGTCCCCATCGATCGGACTGAAGCTTTTTTTTTAACTCCGGAAAGTTAAAAATGTTGAGCTTTTGTCAATTACTTAAAAAATATTGCAAATATTAAAAAAAGTTTTAACCAAAAAATGCTTATGACATAATTTCCTACTAAAAAGCTCTCTTATGCTTTTTGATTTAAACCAATAGTTTTACAAAAAAAACAGTATGAACATACTTAAAAAAAATTATCACCAAAAAATGTACAAATCTATATAATACAAATAATATAAACTACAGTTATTTGTCTAAAAGACTGATTTGTTATCGAAAGGTAGAATGCATCGTCAATTATGTAGGTTACTCTTACAATAGAAGCTAAAATAATATATTAATAAAATGGTATATTAACGATTTCAAACTTATAGACAACATTTAAAAATAATATGTGATATGTAACTCACGTCAAATGTGTAATATTATGTAGATAAATAAAATTATTAATGTAAAAAGACATAAAAAGTAATTTTTTTTAAATATGTTCATATTAGTATTTGTTTAAATAAAAATGAGAATTTTTTCCGCTATTTTCCCTTTATTGACTAATTAATTTAATAATATATAATACTTGTATCATATGTAAGATAATTACCTAAAATATCTTCTGTTATTGAGTAATCTCTAACAAACCATTTAAATTCCGAGTAGCTGAGCACAGCGTCATTGTTTACGTCATACGAAGAGAACTCCTTAATCATATCTCTAACATCAAGAGTAGTAAAATGCTTTGACTGTAAAATCATCATTATACATAATTATCGAGCAGAACTTATTATGTAAATGTTATTAATACAGTATACAATTTTAAACGTTATTCAATATATTACATTTTCGTCGACCTCCTTATTATATTCTGACAAAAAGACCAAGAGCTCTTGCAGCTCATTAGCAGGGGGCTCTATAATCAGGTTATTAAACAGTTTTTTTTTATAAAAAATGAATTATGATGAATTTATTTCAAAGTGATATAAATTTACACTTACGGGCGTGATCGAACTCAAATAGCAAACCGACATAACCATCGGAAACGATTTTTAACGTTAGAAATAAGTCTATTAGGCCTTCAGTAGGAAGATTCACGTAAAACGATGTATACAAAGCGGAGCATTTTCTTAGCTGTGCTATGTCAAGACCTTTACCCTAAATACAAATTAAACACGATTTATGTTTATAAAACAGAAATTTTAGCACACATACAACACGAAATAAGATTTGGCTTTACAGCGAAACGTTTTCTTACATTTGGTTTATGTTTTAATATGGTCACTAAGAACATTAGTGCGTTAATCGAATCTCCATCTAAAAATGAATGACAGTTTTTAATGTTACCAAACTATAAGCATGTTTTATATACATTTTTACCATTAAATCCATGCTTTATTTCTTCCCCAAATTTGGGTATTAGGCTTAAAGCGTGGTCAATTAAGTTCACTAATTCAGCATAGGTAAGAAGCCCGTCTTTTTCACCATTTTCGGCTTTAAAAACTTTCATGAAAAGTTGTACTTCAAAAGTAGTAAAAGTATTTCCCTAATATTAATTACACAAATAAAATAATATTAATTAACTTTCTTATGTATTTTGTTAGAGAGAACATTTCTTTTTGTATGCACTACTTTTCGCTATTACCTCCCAACCGTCAATTGTCTTTTCCAAATTGCTCAAATATATCAATAGATCCGGTAAACTTTTATCATCGATCATAGCTACACTATCGAATTTGTAGTTGTAGTCATTATCATCTTTATAAAATTTTCTATCTATAAAATTCGATGTAAATTTAAAATGGGCAAAATAATTAAATCTAGTTATAACATAAATTATTCATTGAAAATTTATCTTCATTAATTATAAATCTATTGTTTGCGGCTATAAAATTGCAGTTTTTTAGCCATAACTCAGCAAGAACAAGTTGAATGATATGTGCTTTTCTGGGCAACTATTAATTGTAAGTCTAAAAAAAATGACCATGTCAAGTTAATAATAAAAAAATCCAGAACAGTGGTGTCACAGAACTAAACGAATTATTACGGCTGAATGTGATAAATTACTTCTATAAAAAGTCTTTAATGTGGATCTGCAATGTTGAAAATACAGATTAAGACATCTTACCTAATTGCAATAATATTCTTAACAAGTTATTTTAGTAATTGGGTTGATTGTATGATATAGAGTGATTGACATCAATTTTGATAAACAGTTTATATATTTTACCTGTTGATTGTTATTTCATTCATGCAATAACTACGGTCAAAGTGCAATTATTTTTTTTTTTGTATTTTCCTAATAAAAAAACTATGACTATCAACTTTAAAAAAAAATGTTATATTATTTTACAGACCCATTCTAGATCTACCTTCGGACTAATTTTCAGACCTCATACTGTAAAGGGAAAGGATTTATGATATTGTTTTGGTTCGTCCCGTTTATCGGTAGAACTATGTCTTCAAAACTTTTCATACACAATATGAACTTATTCGACTATTTTTACACATCATTTTAAAAAAACGCCTTGTTAGCTACCCATTCGAAGCTAAAACGTCTTTATACTTCATAATTTGTAGCATATGTTACAGTTAAATTTAAGCTGAACGTGACAGTATTATTAGTATTGTAAACTTTACAGTTTATAAGGTAATATTACTCTCCGCTTGCACAGTTTCTACTGTGTTGTAGCGCTCACTAAACACAGCGATCATAATATGTACGTCCAGTTGTACTAGGCTATTCAAATTTCATACATAGTATGTATGACTTTAGGTAGTCATTTGACTTTCTAAATCAACCCCTTAATAATAACTTTCTAAAACATTTTTTTTAACTTAAATAAAAATTTTTTTTTTTTTAAATTAAATATGATGTGACACCTTTAAGATCAGACAATTTTGAATTATCTCATAATAAAATACTGTAAGATAAAAGTTGGATAACCCTGACTATCGTAATGTATGTAAAATATATATTTACTTAAGTCCTCATCCTTCCGCACATACTCTTCCATTGTGATTCTGTCCTCGTCACCATTTTCATTTCTGTAATCCTCAACTAACATAACGATTGTATTCATAGCCTTTTGGCTAAGTCCCAAGCCCTGCAAAACAACATATTATACACGCAGTCTAATTATATTGATCTTTTAAAATAACTAATGTAATTTCTGTTATAGATATGACTTTTTTTTCTGCTTCTTTATTTTATCATCTATTTTTTACTTACCCACGCTGCTTTAAAAAAGTATATTGAGCAGATAAGAAAAGAAACTTTGAAATACATATTGTTTTACTTTTTTTTTAGTTCTTTTACAAAAATTCGCTTACGTGTAAAATAAAATAACATTGGAACTGAGTACAGCTAATACGATTAAATAAATGAGTCGTCGTTATTGGTGTAGATAGCCCCCGTTTGCGTTTTCATATTCATAGGTGAATATGAACTTAATAATACAAACAAGTAAAGTAAAAAAAACACATGTAACACAAAACAACATATGTACTTGATGTAGGAAACAAACAATTGTAACATTCAAAAAACTAATAAATAAGAAACTAGTTTGAGATTGAGACCAAGTAAAAATTAAAAATCATACTGTTTGTATTCTAAACTAAAAAACATGTAAATTTATAACCGCCATTTACTGACTTATCGTACGACATCACATTTACTTATGTCGAGTTACATCAATATTTACACATAAACATGCTGGTTCAACTGGAGTTAAAAAAAATTCTGTTGCATAATCCATGTTTTAAATTTTATCTGTTGTTAAAAATGTACTTTATCGCGAGTTAAATTACATGGTCATTTATCGCTGATTAAAAATGTATGTATGGTTAAATGTTGTTATCAATGTTATGCGTTTAAGTGGTGATAATGGAAATGTGCATTAGATTTTCTAAAATGTGTCTAATATTTTCTAATTAAATTAAACATTACTCCATATTATTTTTAAAACGTAACAGAAATTAATGATGATTTACCATCAGTTTATCATTTAAAATAAACCGTAAAAAATTAAAAAAATTAAAAGTGTATCCTTAGATAAACGTCTATTTTTTAACGAGATCTGGTTATAACGACGCTCAATGTCGACAGCTGGATAACCTCTCATATTATTTTGAAATAGAAGTGGATAGTTGGTTATAGTTATTCAAATTTTATACTGAAGTTATTTTTTCAATGAAATAATAATGTTAGCTAAAAACATTTACTTCTTAACTTTTAAAATCATATTAATAGCTTAATTATATATTTAACATTTTTATTATTAAATATGATAACGATTTTATTCGATACCTTAAACAACAATTCAAATAGGTAAAATGTAAAATAAAAAATCTTTGACGCTGAAGACAATAAACGTGTTTATATAAATGAGTTGTTGTTTTTGTAGATACTCAAGTTTGTGGTAAAAACATAAGTGATTATGTACTAAATAATACAAACAACTTTATAACAAAAAAAAGATTAATAAAAACTAACAATGCTTTTCCCCTGAAAAATATTTATTTATTTTTAAAAACACTAGAAACACAATTACAGTTGATTGAAAAACAAATAAGGAATATAACGAAAAAAAAAGAGTTTCCCCTTAAGCTTTTTATAATTTAATTAACTTTACAAAAAGCTTTGAAAATTATACTTAAATCAATTGAATACATTTTTTTTTGTTTTCTTTATTTAAAATACGAGAAAAGCCAAAAGTTTAAGACAAAAAAAATTTTAATGGAACAATAACAAAACGTTAAACAAAATTGTAAATTAATAATATTTTTATTGTCTCCACTATTTCAGTGTCCTTACAATACTTCTTCATTAAAACCCCAACCACTCATCAAGAGATCCTTCTGGGGCCCTTTCATAACTCCCTTTTTTCATTTTCCTTCTATAATTTCTTCCGACATTTGCTGGATTCCTGGCTTTTCTATTATTTGCCGGGGTAACTGTTCCTGCCATATACTTTTCATAGTTGAGCCGGGCTTCGGTTTCTTCTTCTGTCCACATTACATAGTTGCCACTGGCATTTGTTTCTTCTATTGCCTTTCCATTATTATTTCTCTGGACATTGGTTTCTACCTTTGCCCTTCCATAAATATCTCCCCGGACATTTGGTTCTTCCATTGCCGTTTCATAGTTGCCTGGGACATTTATATCTTCCATGGCCCATTCATCATTAAGTCTCCGGGCATACGCTTCATCCATTGCCAAATTGTTATTTACCATGACATTTGATTGATTCGTTGTCACGTTGTCATCGCTCTCATTATTATTTCGTTCAAAACGTAAATAGTATTTTAAGAACAAGAACGTAGCAGTGTTCAATGAACATTTATCTAGAAACGGGTTTTTAAATGTATACAAAATTCGGTATATATAAAATAAATGATTCATACCATCGTGATTAAAATGCGTCTCATTATCGGTTGGTTCTGTTTGTGTGAGGTGGTAGAGTTTGGCGACCGATTTAAGTTCTGGGATGCCAGAGTTATCTAAAATAAAAAAAATTCTTAAAATTAGTAAAAATCAAAAAAGTATAATTTGATATTTTTATTCAGAAAACGGAATAAGTAAAAAAAATATTTTATAATATAAAAACTCTAATTCAGAAGTAACAAAACATGAAGGAAAGCTGTACTTATTATTTACTTAGTATTAGTATTGTATTATACTTTTATATAATATATATATATATTATATTATATATATATATATATATATATATATAAATGTATATGTATATGAATTATTCATGATAACTACTGTAAAAAACAAAATGTTTAAATAAAATAAAATACTTAACGTTATAACATATTTATAGTAATTACTCAAAATGTCTTCTGTTATTAGGTAATCTCTAATAAGCGGTTTAAATTGCAAATAGCTGAACACACCGTCAAAGTTTAAGACATATAAAATAATATAATAATATAAAATAACTTTTATTTTAGTGAATATTTTTAAGATTTTTTTTTAAATTAATTATTAGAAATTAGTATAAAGCTATTAGCTATAATCATCACTTTTTTTATTGCACTTAATAATTTTACTTTTATTATTTTTTTATTTTGTTTAAAAAAATCAAGAAGGCCATTTTGTTAGGAATAATTTGCTGAAGATTTTTACTGGTCGATATCCAGATTTGGATAGTTACTTTTTAAGTTACTAAAGTTTAAAGAGTAGGAAGGGCTATGTGGTAGACTAAGCCCGTTTTTATCTGCTAAAAAAAATCTTAAAAATATTCACTAGAACAAAAGTTATTTAATTGTTCTAATCTCAATGGGATAACCTATGTATATGTATTATACATAGCTATTACAGTAAAAATCAAAATGTTTATTAGAAACGATTAAATAAAATATAATACTTATATTACTTAAAATATCTTCTGTTAATAAGTAATCTCTAGCAAGCGGGGAAAATTCAATATAGCTGAGCACACCGTCACAGTTTATGTCGAACCTAGAGAACTCCTTAATCATATCTCTAACATCAGGAGTAGTGAAATGCTTTGACTGCAACATCATCATTATACATTATTATTGAGCAGAACTTATTATGTAAATGTTATTAATACAGTGTACAATTTTAAACGTTATTCAATATATTACATTTTCGTCAACCTCCTTATTATATTCCGACAAAAAGACCAAGAGCTCTTGCAGCTCGTTAGCAGGGGGCTCTATAATCAGGTTATTAAACAGTTTTTTTTTATAAAAAATGAATTATGAAGAATTTATTTCAAAGTAATATAAATTTACACTTACGGACGTGATTCAACTTTAACAGTAACCCAACATAATTATAGGAAACGATTTGTAACGCTAGAAATAAGTCTATTAGGCCTTCAGTAGGGAAGTTATCATAAAACGATGTATACAAAGCGGAGCATTTTCTTAGCTGTAATATGTCAAGACCTTTACCCTGAATATAAATTAAATACAGGTTATTATTATAACACAGAAAATTTAGCACACATACAACATGAAGTAAGATTTGGCTTTACAGCGAAACGTTTTCTTACATTTGGTTTATGTTTTAATATTGTCGCCAAGAACATTAGTGCGTTAATCGAATCTCCATCTAAAAATAAATGACAGTTTTTAATGTTACCAAACTTTAAGCATATTCTTAATAAATTCTTACCGTTAAATTCATTCTTTATTTCCTCTTTATGTTTGGGTTCTAGGAGTAAATCGTCCTGAATTAGGCTAACTAATTCAGCATGGGTAAGAAGGCCGTCAGGGTCGCTATTGCCTACGTCTTTGCCTTCAAAACCTTTTTTGTCTTTTTTTTTGAAAATGTTTACAAAAAGATTTACTTCGTATGTAGTGAAAGTTTTTCCCTAATATTAATTACATAAATAAAATAATATTAATTAACTTTCTTATGTATTTTGTTAGAGAGAACATTTCTTTTTGTAAATACTATTTCTCGGTATTACCTCCCAACCGTCAATTATCTTTTCCAAATTGCTCAAATATATCAATAGATCCGGTAAACTTTTATCATCGATCATAGCTACACTATCGAATTTGTAATTGTAGTCCTGTTCGTCATTATGAAACTTTTTATCTATAAAACTCGATGTTAATTTAAAAGGGTCAAAATAATTAAATGTAGTTATAACATAATAACATATTTATTGAAAATTTGTCTTCATTTATAAAACTATTGTTTGCGGCTATTAAATTGCAGTTCTTTAGCTATTACTCAGCAAAAGCAAGCCAAAAGAAATGTGCTTTTCTGGGCAACTATTAATCGTTAGTCTAAAAAAAATGTCCATGTCAAGTTAATAATAAAAATAAAACAAAACAGTGGGGTCATAGAGGGATCACAAAATATAACGTATTATCACGGCTGAATGTGGTAAAATTACTTTTATATAAAGTCTTCTATGTAAATCTGTAATCGTAATACAGATATTATAGGCGCGTTGTACCTAATTATTGCAATATTGTGCTTAAAAGGTTATATTATTATTTGAGTTGATCGTACTAGGTAAAGTGATTGACATCAATTTTGATGAACAATATATTTTCACGATGATCAACATAGAAACTACGGACTACGGTTTAAGTGCAATTATTCTTTTTTTTTTCAGAATTAATACTTTAAATCTGCATATAAAAAAGAAAAAAATGTTATCCTTTTCAGGGGAAGGGATTTATGATAATTGTCTGGTTTGTCCATTTATCGGTAGAACTATGTAAAGACCATTTCATACACATTGGAAACTAATTCGACTATTTTCAACACACCACTACAAAAACAACACCATCTAAGCTACCTATTGAAACTAAAACGTTCCCTCCCCCCTCCTTTCCCATTTGGAGAAGCAAATATTTTTGTTTTTGGGTTTTTAAGCCGTAATTTTGGGACCTTTTAGTTGACATTTTGTCAGAAGACAGATCTCATATGTGTCCATATCATAAGAAC